CATTTTGTGTAGCACTGTTTTCTGACCTTTGTTGTTGATCTTTGCTGTAGTTATAACCTTCGCACGTACTGAAGTTCAGGTGCAGCTCTACAAAGTTTGGACTTATCCAGCTGTGTCTGGCTTAGGTCTGGCTGCTGTGCTCAGCTCCTTTCCGCTCCTGCCCTTGAGGGTGAATGTATTGTGCCACTGTGGCAAGATGTTCTGCTCCTGGACTAGCTGGGTGGAACTATCCTCTTCACTCTCTTCAGGGATTGCAGCTGCAGGGTTACACCTCAGGCATGTATTCCCAGCCTGAGCTGTGCCTGGAGGGGGCAAGGTGAAGTAGGGGGAAGAGGAAGCTCTCCCACACACTCACTGGACCTGCGCTAAGACTGGGTCCGGGGGTTCCCAGAACACTGCAAAATTCCTACTCTGTGGGCAGCGGGGGGAGGTGCTGCGGAGTGATGGGGGGCAGCCCGAGGGTGTGGGATAGGGTCCGGCCCATGCTGCGCCTGGGCTGGAAGTGGTCCTACCGGCACAGGGTAGCAGGAAGCTCTCCACACACTCACCGGACCTTGGCTAGGACTGGGTCTGGGGGTTCCCGGAAGTCGGCAGAAATTCCTACTCAGAGTGCGGGGTGGGGGAGGTACTGCTTAGTGGTGGGGGCAGCCCGAGGGAGTGGGAGAGGGTCCAGCCCATGCTGTGCCTGGGCTGGGACTGGTCTTGCCGGTGCAGGCTAGCAGGAAGCTCTCCACACACTCACTGGACCTGGGCTAAGAGTGGGTCTGGGCTTAACTAAGATTTAAGAATGGGAACCCTTGTGAGCATGCTCAGTAATCATTGTGGAGAACCAAGAGGGCCTCTAACTGTAGCAATGTTCATGGTTGTGGTGTGCTTTTTTTTTTTTTAAATAAAATTTGAAATGTTTATAAACAGTAAAAAAGAAAGAAAAATAAGCTCCTTCCATGACAAACTGCATCTAAAGAAGTTTATGAACACAAAACCAGCACTACACAAAAATTCTCAATGATGTCCTAGAAAGAGATAATGAAACCAACAATACCAAAAAGTCTAATGGCACGAATGCACTCGGTAGAGTGAATAGTGAAGAAGGAAAGGAATAAAAGGAATCAGTAACAGGAAAATAATGCAATGAGAAGAATAAACCAATACCTTTCAGTAACAACTCAACTTCCCAACCCAAAGACACAGATGGGCAAAGTGAATCAAAAATAGAACCCAAGAATATGCTACACACAAGCAATACATTTGATCAAAATGGGCATTCCTAGACTAAAAATCAAAGAATAGAAAATAACTCTTTGAATCCATCCAGGACAGAAAGACAACTGTGACAGCACAACTAAAGACACTTACAAAAGAATACCAGAATTTGGGCCGGGGAGATGGCTCAGTAGAATAAGCGCTTCCCTGGCAAGCACAAGGGCCTGAGTTCAATCCCGGTTCCGCCAAAAAAAAATAGTAAAAAAAAAAAAAAAAAGAAAAAAAAATTCCCCCTGAAGATAGTCTCCATTCCTTTGCCTTCACACCTAGCTTGGATATGAACCCAAGAGAAACAAACAAAAAAAAATGTTTCTGTGACCTTGTCAGCGGCCTTTGCGTTTTTGTTTTTTCCTCTCTCACTTTTGGTTTGGTTTTTGAGTTTGGTTAATCATTCGTTTGTAGCTGAGGCTGCATCCTGAGCCTTTTCTTTGTGCGCTCTCGCTGCTGAGAAAGCTTTCTGGCCCATTCTCCTGCATCCAGTTAGGGAGCCCCTCTCCGTCCCATACCAGCCTCCATCGCATTTCCCTCTGAGCCTCGCTCCCGTCCCGTGCCTCCTTGTCAGCGGTTTCTGTGTGTGCACGTGTATGTGCGTGAGTGTGCACGCGTGTCCAGCTCTGTGTGCAGAACCTGAAGATGCGTCCCCGTTCTTACTCTTTCAATTGCCCTTACGGAAAGTGGAGATGGCCTCCCTTGCCCTGTGCTGGTTTAACTGCTCTTTTGCGACCTCCAAATTCCCAGCTGCCCCATCACCTAGTAGATCTCCTCCGACCAGTGCGGAGTGGGGAGATGCAGTTGTTGTTGGGAGTCACTGCCCTGGGAAGTTTTGTCCAGAGGGAAGAGGCTATGGGGAGGAGGAGAACTTAAGAGATGGTTAGTTGTAACAAACTGGACTCGGTGGAGCGGAGAGCATTTGTGTTTGTCACTGTGCGGGAGCACAGGCTGTCATTGAACTAATTCCCTGTAATTGCAGCCTTTTATGTCACCGCGATACGCAGGCGGCCCCAGGCCCCCGATCAGAATGGGAAACCAGGTACTGTACCTTTTCATGTTCTCTCTCCTCTTGCGCAGCCATCTGTGGCCCTAGGTGGACTTTGACTCAAACCAAGATTTGGGGGACAGATGGAGGGCCTTGTTCTTAAATTGGGGGGTAGCTTACTGGAAGGCCTACTCTGTACCCATAGTTTGGCCTGCTTGCCCTGGGGCACCTCAGGCAGCCCATTTGGGGGTTCAGAGGGCAGTGGCAACTGCTGTCTGGGTAGGATCGCAGGATCTCTGTGCGTCTTGAGAAGGTGGTAATGCTGCTGCCCCTCCTTTCCAGCCCTTTCTTGGAAGAGGGTCTTCTTCCTTAATGAAGTTAATTGACAACGTGCATTTTTTCCTGGAAGCTTTTGAGAATTGCCAAGGCTGGTAAATATAATCCTGCTATTAGGGGGAGAAATGGCCCGTAGGAATGCTTAGATCAGGGTCCTGGCTGCAGTGGAGCAGGGCATTTGTGAGTTTTTAAGGAACGTCTGCCTGCTTCCCAGACCCAACTCCAAACAAGGCCGGATTTGTTCATGTAATTAGGAAAGCTGCCTGCTTACGAAGAGGGCTTTTCAGCCTCAGGCTGCGGGCCTTACTGTGCCCCATGAGGGTTGGCAGTTCTAGGTGATCTGGGGAAGTGGGTCCCTGTGCCACCCTCCACCATGTAGCCCCTCCAGGGGCAGGAGGCCAGCCAGAGAAGTTAGAATGAATCACCTCTCTTGAAGAAAGATATAAGCAACACCCGGAGATATCTTTTTGTGCCAGAATATTTTTTTAATAGTTCTTTCAGTGACTTTGCAAAAGCCCTTCAAAAGCCCATCAGCAACACCAGCACACTGAGCCCTTGCTGCCCTCAGAAGTGGGAGTTTAGTCGCTGACTAGGTTGGCGTTGTCTGGGTGGCATATCCTCCCTCCCTCTCTCCCTCCCTCCCTCCCTCTCTTTCCCTCCCTCCCCCCCTCCCTCCCTCTCTCCTCCCCCTCCCTCTCCCTCCCTCTCCATCCCTCTCTTCTCCCTCCCCTTCTCCCTCCCTCACCCCAAGTCCTCTGCAAGGAAGCCCTGGGTGAGATGGTTCAGGGGCTGCGTGCAGTGAGGACCTCAAATGAGGAACACCCCACCACCGCCACCAGTGTAAAATGATTAGGCTTCCGCCTTTGTGTTTTATTTCCCAGGATTCTTTTATTTCCTGTTTTCTTTGACATAAAAAGAACAGATTTGCCAGCATTTTGAGCAAGAAGGGCTCCTTGGGGGCCGGGGATGTGATTCAGTGCTAGAGCTCTTGCCTTGCATGCACAAGGCCTTGGTTTTGATCCCCAGCATCACCAAATCCTTGGACCCATCACAGATAAAAGACAGAAGCTCCCAGTGGGCTGGGCCTGGGTGAGGCCTCAGCTCCCAAGCCTAGTGTGGGCTCCGCTCCATCCTACCCAGCTACTCAGTTCTCATGGTTGGAAACTTGATTCTCCCAATTTCTGTTCTTCCCGTCACCAAGTGGGCTCCTCTGCCATTGCATGGCCGGGCCCTAGAAATGACTGTCTTTCTGTCTGCTGAGGATTGTCCTTGGCCCGAACCAGCCACTGGTCTCCTGCTGTCTCCTAGGGATACAGTAAATACTTGCTGCACTGACGATGGTCCTTCTCCCTGCAGTTAAAGTACCCAGAGAGGGAGAGAGTTTCTATGCCACAGTTAAGCATGAGCAGATCTGTAGCTTTCATTACGAATAGTTTTCCCAGTCTGGCTGCAGGCTCTTTTAGAGAGCCACACCGATTTTCCCACTTACCCCAGATTCCATACATCTTCGTTTCACAAAGATAAGTGTGTCCCCTTCACCAAATTGCCCTTGAGTGTTGTAGAGAGTGCCTCAGCTGGAGCCCTCAAAGCTAGCTCAGTCCTCTTTGGCAACAGGTGGAAGAGCAGAGGTGGGGGACTTGCTCAGCCTCAGGCAGCCCACATCCTGGGCCATCTGGAAAGTAAGCAGGGTGCTTGGGGACCCAGGTGCTGGTAGCCACTGAATTGTCCCTCAGGCTTTCGAGGCCAGGCTCCCCACCAGAGATGTTGAGCTGGGGATAGAGTACTCCTTTTTGAGCTAGGATGGCTGCAGATCGTAAAGAGTGGGGTTGAATCAGGTTTGAGAGTGGAAGGACTAGAATCTGGGTGGTGGGACATCCCTCCTCCTCTTTGCAGAGCTCCACTGGTGGGCAGGTGAGAGGGCTGTAGGGGCAGCTGGCGTTCCTGTGCCTGGCTGCACAGAGCTACAGGAGAGGTGGCTGACCCGCCTGAGGGAGACCAGGGGGCAGCCCCAGAGCAGGCTGGATATAAGGCTCAGGGGGCCTTCTCATATCCTCGCCGTCCCAGTCTTTCCAAAGACACGCCTTTCTTTCCAAAGCCCGGTGAGTCATGAGGGTTTGTCTCTTGGCTTCCCACAACCTTGTTCCAAACCTGCTTGGAGGTCACTGTTGGGCTCAGGGCAGATGAGTTCTCTGCTCAGCCATCCCACCAGGCCATCAGGACTGGCAGGGCTCAAGGACTGCAGCTGGGACAGCAGTCAGCAACTTGTTCCTTCCTAAAACAGGAGCTTGTGCCTGGTCCCATGGGATGGGGTCCTAGAAGCTTACTTTGCTAAGGTTCTACTACATTTTTTCAAATTATAGCTGAAGTAAGTTCCACCAGAAGTAAACTGCTCTGATAGATTTTCGCTACATTTGTGTCCAGCACTCCCCCAGCGCCCACAGTGCCCCATCCCACCCTCTCAGCACCCTCTCAGCACCCTCTCACACTGGCACCTGTAGTTCTCAAGGGGAGGTTCCTTCAGCACCCCCCACCCTGTTGCCCAAGGCCTCCTTGTTTCTTCAGAGCAGGGAGGCCAGGGTGCTTGTCCTGGCTCTGCTGCTGCATGGCCCAGGGTCCTTGGACATCTGGCCCTCTGAACCTTGAAGGCCTCCTTGCCTTGTCCCCTTTAGAAGGCTGTGTTGTTGGTAGGGTCTCAGCAGCAGGTCTGTCAGCCCCCAAGCTTCAAATGGAGAATTAAAATGTGCCACATCTCTGTGAGCCAAAAGGGAGATTGGAGAGGCTGAGCTGCAGCACCAGGGTTCAGGAGGTGAGGAGGGACTGCTGTGTTGGAGTGGCGTTGGCAGTGGGCAGTGCAGCTTCTAGAATACTCGTAGGGCGTGGGCAGGTGCACCTCGCAGCAGCGGGGTAGAGGGGCTCCTATCCACCGCTGCGTGCCTCCCTTCCACCCATTCCCTGCCTGATGCTGCAGTTCTCACAGTGCTTGCAGGGCTGGCTGCCCTGGGCTGGCGGTTGCCCCCAGGCAGCAGGAATGGTTTTGGGAGGCCCTGAGTGGTGCTTGACAGCTCAGTGGGGTAGGTAGAAGCCTCTTCCCTCCAGCCACCAGCTGTAGAGAGCAGCTGCTCAGCTTGTGTCTTGCATCTCTTTCAGCCGCCAGGAGGAGTTCCTGGGACACAGCCATTGCTGCCCAATTCCATGGATCCCACACGACAACAAGGTAGAGAGGACGGGGCAGGTGCCTGGGGCCTCTGGAGGGCTCCTCCTTGCTCTGCTTCTGCCAGCCCACAGCTTCCTTTGCTTTCTTTCTCCCCAGGCCACCCCAACATGGGAGGATCAATGCAGAGGATGAACCCTCCCCGAGGCATGGGGCCCATGGGTCCTGGCCCACAGGTAACCAGACGTCTGTTTTGTCTACCCATCTCCCCAGCCATCTGTGTGCACCCGCCTCCTCTCCTCCTCCCACAGTCTGTCTGTCTTCCGTGTCTATGGCTCCCAGGGAGAAAGACCATGCCCAGATCTGTGCTACCCTGGGCAGAAGGCAGCAGGCAGAGTTCAACCTGCTGGTTGGCAGAGTGCTGCAGGGTGGGGAGGGTATCCTAGTGTGTGGTTTGAGGAATTTGAAAGGCAGGAGGCCTGGTGCCCAAGCTATGGGGTGGGCGGAGGGTGGGGAGTTCCAGGAATCCCAGAGCCACCCACCCTGCATAGGGTTGATGTGAAGTGGCTCGAGAGCCAGTATTGTGACCAGGAATTGGGGCAGCTGAAGACCATCCTAACTCTGCCTGTCGCCCTACATTTGTCTGTCCTTGGACCCATTGAGACCAGAGTCTCAGTTTTCTGCCCTGTTAAATAAGCAGTGAGCCATATCCATGGTCTCAAGGGAGTAGAAGGACAGGCTACCAGGGTCCCAGCCTGCTTTATATGCCAGGCTTCAGTGCAACAGTTCTTTTGACCAAAAATCTGTGTTGTCAGAAACAGTACTTTTTTTTTTTTTTGGGTGGAACCAGGGGTTGAACTCAGACCCTTGCCAGGGAAGTGCTTATTCCACTGAGCCATCTGCCCGGCCCCGAGAAAGAGCACTTTTGAAACCTCCAGAAGACACTATCTCAGGTGCCTTGTGTACCCCTTGATGAGCATAGCTGCCCACCCCACAGGGGAGGACTACCCTGGCAGGATGCAACTAGCCTTGTCTTTCTGGAAGCTTCCTCTGGTTGCTTCTGTCTTGAGTATTTCCATGTAACTGTTTGCTGTGCTCCACCCTCCTTGGGAATCATCTGGACCTACCTGTCTAAAAGAAGGTTGAAAGCAGAGTCAGGAGAGGGGTCTCTCATGGTGCAAGCAGGATGGGAGTCTGGGGGTGGGACTTGTTACGGGTCTTCCTTTCCTCTTGGCCCTGCCTGCCAGCCCTGCTCCTCCTAAATGTGGCTATTTTATACCCAGGCCTCTTCATGTGTTCCCAGCCTGAGGGGCACCAGTAGGGAGCTGTCTTCCCTGCACACCCCCAGCTTGTACTCCAGCCCACTGCCCATGCAGGCCATGCTGGTTGGAGCATCTGTGGTGGTGACAGATTTTAGGGGGATCCTTGCTTGCAGGGCCATATTCCTAAAGGGAAGCAAGCAAACCTCAATGGCAGCTCTAGTGTTCTCTGTTTTTCCTGGAGCTCCCAGAGTTCACGTTTACTCTCTTAAGCCATGGGATTGGCCCCACCCTGCCTGGGCACTGTTACAAACTGACTTGCAGGTCTGCCAGTGGGAGGGGACAGAAAGTGGGCTCCCTCTGTGGAGTCACAGTGTAGCACCTCCACCCCAGCCATGAGGCGCAGGCACTGATTCCTGGTGAGGAATTGGCAATGGGCTTGGATTTCCTAAACATTTTGGGGATTCTTAGTGAACGAGGAGGACGGAATGAATGTAGAGAGGGAAATTTTAATTCCGTCACCCACCAGTGGCCCAGGACCTACCTAGGGAGGTACAATGAGAACTAGCACAGTACCTGCCGTGGGAGGTTGCAGAAAGGAGTGTGGTCAAATTCTTGGTGTGATGCCTTGATCTGGGAAGCCCCCTTAGAAAGCAGTTTATCATTTCTGCTTTGGGAACCTAAAACCAGTGTCCGGGACTGCAGTTGCCTGGGTTTGGTGATTGCTATTAGGTTCTCTCCCCACTGCCTCTCTTTTTTTCCCTGGCAAAAGCCACCAGCAATTTGTGAAACCTGTAGTAAGACGGAGATTATAGAAACTAGATGTGGATATTGGCAGAATGTCTGTGGGGAGTGTCCCGGGAGTGTAGAGCTTCCTGGGGCTGGGGCTGCCTCGTGTCATTCCAGCGTGCTTTTTTATCCTCACTAGAGAGGTAAGTGTTCTGGAGGCCTAAGCCGCGCTCACTAGCCTTCCAGCCTGGGCTAGCTCTCTCAGCCTCCCAGCCTCTCCCAGCGGAGCAGCACACAAGAGTAAGCTGTTAGACTGCACCCAACCCTGGGAGTGGGAAAGCCTGGCCTTGGTGGAGCATTGGGTCCAGGCACAGCTGACGTATGAGGTGGGTTGCAGGGTCCAAGGACAGCTTGGCAGTGGATGTCTGGGAGTGGAAGGGGCAGACTGTCCCATTTCCCAGGCCCTTCTCTCGGTTACCTGAGTATACTGTCCAGGCAATTGCAGGGGACAGGAGAAGGAAACTTCAGAGCTGCTACTGGGAGACCCGGTTCTGCACATAGGTTATCCCATTCAGACTCTGGTCCTTGAACCACAAAATGGGCAGCCAGCTTCACAGGGCTCTCTGTAGGGCAGGGCAGGACACTTTCTGAATACCCACCCGTGACCTGTAGGTCCTGTCTCCTTCCTTCAGAAACTGAGCTGTCGTGCTCGCTTCGGCAGCACATATACTAAAATTGGAACGATACAGAGAAGATTAGCATGGCCCCTGCGCAAGGATGACATGCAAATTCGTGAAGAAACTGAGCTGTCTTCTGCCCCATCCTGGCTGTTAGGAAAGGTGGCCAGCTCCTCTAGGCAGCTGGTGGTAGACATAGTGCCACCCTGAGATCAGAAGCAAAGGTGGGCACCACTGGGATATGAATCCCAGCAGAGAATTAGACTGCTTAGCTAGAGTCCTCTAGAACTTTCTGAACAAAAACAGGTACACTGTGGCCATGGAGCCACTTTATAGATTTCAAAACCTAGAGTTAGAGTGACATTCCATGTTTTTTGACCCTAAACAGCCCCAAGAAACCAGTAGCCCATGATCACCCTGCTTTTTTGCCTTCAGGGACCCAGACCAATTTTGCTCTGGGTTTGTGAATGACCACATCCAGAAAGGATGCTATATGTCTTCTTCCCTAGGTCTCTCTGGCACAAGTCACTGTCAGATAGTGACCTTTTGCGCAGCTATTTTGAAAGTGGATCCTTTTTTTGATTCCGTGTACCAGGAGTCAAAGTCAGTAATTTGTGCTTGCCAGGCAGGCGCTGTGCCGCTGAGCGAGAACTCCGACCCTGAAAGCAAGTTCTTTTAGATGAGGCTGAAGCTACAAGGCTCCTGGTCAGACCTTGGTAGAGTGGAAGAGCCTATCAGGGACCTTTGGGTAGCCATCTCCAGAGCCATTGTCCTGTCGGAGGTCTGGTTCTTGGATTGGGACTTGTATTAGTCAGGTTTTTAGTGCTGTGACAGAAAGACCGGACACCGAAAAGAGAAAGTGTTGGCTCTTGGTTTCAGAGGGCTCAGTCTGTGATGGAAGGAAAATGCTTGACTCATGACAGCCAGGAAACAGCAAGGAATGGCCAGGGAAAAGTGGCTCAGGGGCCAGATACAATCCCCAGGGTCATGCCCATGGCCCCTCTGGACACAACCAGAAGGGTGGTTTGCTAATCTTTAGGTGATACTCAAGCCAGCCAAGCTGACAGTCAAGAGTGCCCGTCCCAGAGCCAGAATCAGGCTACTATCCCAGCTTATCTAATGTTCAGGGGAGTTCAGATAAATAATATTGCATCAACTCCAGGAACAATCTTGTGCCACCCTGGGGCCCCTGTGGACCCAGGGCTAGCCCAAGCGCAGTCTTTAAGTGGAAGCCATGGAAGGAGGTGGAGGGATCGTCAGTGCTGGTGTAGAGACACCTGGGTTGGGCGAGGAGCGAGTGGGGCTCCCAGGAGCTACCTAGACACTTACCAGGTGGCACAGCCTCCTTGATGACTGGCTGGCTTGCCCCCTGTCCTGTGATAGAGATAGCACCTGGTAGGCCACAGGAAGCACGGAGAAAAACAACAACAACAACAACAACCTGAGGCTGTTGGCAGGAAACAGGCTGTGTGACACTTTCTCATGTCACTCTGGACCTTGTGGATCAGAGGCTGAGACTGAGAGGATGAGGCCTGTGTTCTTATAACCATGGACCACAGCCCCTGCCCAGGGTCTCAGCCACCTCAGGTGACTGAGGATGCAGATGGGGTGGACAGACCCCATGAGGGTGGTGGCCTTGCAGCGCAGTGCTGATGGCAGTCCCCAGGGTCTTTGTCCCGATGGTACAGAAGGGGAGTGTCTGGTTAGCAGCTGTGTCTTCCCCTCCAGCAGCCCCTGCTGCATTTGGGGAAGAACTGGGAGGGCAGAGCCCATCGTGCTGGGGTCTTGTATGCTATGTGCCGGGCCTGCAGCCCTGTGTGGAAAGGCTGGTGTTGCTGATTAGAAAACTGACCACACCTGACTTACGCCAACTTTCACTCCCTACTCATCAGAGAATCTGGCCTCTCTGGGCTTCCAGGTTGTCATGTGTGAAAAGTGTGAATGACCCTCAGGCTCTGCATCTATAGGAAAGCTCCCTGTAGGCCAGGGAGGGGCAGGAGCGCCAGGGCTGACCCCCTTCTGCAGCCTCCCAGCCTGCAGCTGCACGCTGCATGTGCAGCTGTCCCATCATGCTGGGAGAGCGCCTGCCAGACCTGTCTCTGTTCTGAGCTCCCCGTGTCCTAACTGTAGGCCTTTCCCCCTGACAGGGCAAGCATCTGCTACAGCTGCACATCCAGAAGGCTTGTTGTTGCCCCTGGAGCACCGGTCCAGCAGGCTGGGCTGTGCAGTGTGGAGCAATGGCATGTGGACCCTAGACAAGGCCTTTGAGGCCCTGGCTCTGCCATGCCACAGCTGCGTTAGGGCTGCTTGGTCTGCTCCACTGCCAGTGTCCCCGTGTGTGTGCCTCCTGGGTTCACACAGTCCTCTGAGCCCTAGAAGGGTGGGGCATTACAGGCTCTTTGATGGTACAGACAAGGGAGTCAATGCGTAGCTGGGCCCCAAGGCCGGTACTCTGCTTTAGCACCTCTGTGTTTAGTTTCTGAAGTTGGGGGAGTACAGGAGTTGCTGTGACTATCAAGCATGAGTGATAGCAGCCAACACAGCCTAGTGTCTCTTATGTGTGTAGTTTGCCAGAGTTAGCAACAAGTAACCCAGCCAGAGCCAGCGCTTCGTGCACTGACCTGAGTGCTGATCAGAGCCTGATTAAAAAACTGAGAAGTTTCAGGCTCTGCTTCACCACCTGGGCATCGAGCGAACCCGTCTCCCTCGGGCTTGGCCCTATGACACGGGCCCCAGGATAACTGCTGCTCATCTGAGTGAGCACAGGGGCTGGGAGTCTTGGTTCATGCTGGCTCCCTGCATGGTCCATGGCTTCCTGTCCTCGTTGCTGCCCAGCCCTGCCTGCTGTCAGCCAGCCTGGTGTTGCTCCCTGGTTGTCAGCGGCCTGCCTGGCCTCTGTGGGTGACCAAGTAGAGCAAGTAGTCCCAGGACAGCAGTAAGACACAGGAGCCAGTCCATGTAGAAAGGCCCATCCTTCTCCAGCTTCCCCTGCTGACAACCAGGGAGCAACACCAGGCTCCAACCCGGTCCCCAGAGACTGGTAAAGAATTCAGGCGTTGGAGCTGCTGGTTCAGGTTAAGGCGCAGCTCTGCACTGTTCTTTAGGCAAGCCTGCCTCCTGCAGACCTTCAGTCTCCTCATCAGTAAGATGGAAATAAGCCTGGCTTTGTGGGGCTGCTGTACGGTCCAGCCAGAGACTGACCAGAGTGCGCTTGTGCTTGGTGACACGCAGCCTTGCTGGCTCTTCCTTTGCTATGCCAAATCTATCTCTCCTTTCCCCAACAGCGTGGCACTGGTTCATTGAGCCAATCCATGTTGACTGTAGTGGTGTCTCCGCCTTGGGAAGGGCACAAGGGCATTCTGGGAACAACCAATGGAACAGTAACCCTGGAGAGCAGGTGGGGACAGGGTCACCAAGACACTGCCTCTTGGGCTGTGCATTGAGGGGACAGGGAAGTCCCAAGTGGGGACAGGTGAGGTGGTTACCTCTGAAGAGGACAGCATGCAGGAAGGGAGGTCAGGGCAGGAGGTCAGGTGCACCTTAACCCCTGCCCCCGCCCCCAGGTGTGCTGAGCTGTGTGTGGGTCCTGGAGGTGCCTGTGTGTAGACCCCTCAGCCAAATGGGGATCTCGCAAGCGGAAGTAGAGTCTTCTCTGGCTCCCTAGACAATGACACATGGCCAGGACGGGGACCTGCCTGGAGCAGCTGGGGTGCAGTCCATGCCACACACCCCTTCTGTGCCCAGACTTGCTCTGTGTCACTCTCGCCATTCTTCAGAGTGACTGTGTCACCATCACTGGTCGGCTCCATGGCCCATCCCTCCCTCCCATCTGCCCAGAGTCTGTGGGGAAGGCGCAGGGGAGTATCTTTTGAGAACATCACCCTGAAGCCCCGTAAAAAACACCTTGACCATTGTGATTGTCCCTCTGTGCTGGCTTGTCATCGTGGTCCCCACCCCACCTTTTTGAAAGAATGTATTGTTTTTTTTCATCAGGTCCTTCACAGACTAACCCTCTCGCTTATGTTCTGTCTGTCTGTTTTCCTTCCCTCCTCTCTCCGGTTCCCCTTCTCCTTCTCATAGACTGACCCTTGGTTATCGTTGCAGAATTACGGCAGCGGCATGAGACCACCACCCAACTCCCTCGGCCCCGCCATGCCCGGGATTAACATGTAAGGCGAAAAGGCCCTGGCCAGGCTCAGAGCCAAAGGCCCTCCCCGCCCTCTGCTGGCATCTGGCAGGCTCATGTTAGGAGTCCATGCCAGGGCCTCTCTGGACCTCAGTCCCTCCGTTGCAGAGTGAGAATTTTGAGGACCCTGGGGGTGGGAGCCCAGCCTCCTCCAGGGCCAGTGTGCCTGGCGGCATTACAGGCATGCTGCAGGGGCTCGCTCTCCTGGTCTTGATGACAACCCCGGGAGGCACTTGTCATCCCATGTCAGAGGTCACTGAGGCACAGAGAGGTCTAGTCACTTTCCCGGGGTCATACAGTTTTCATTGGCTGAGTCAAAATTTGAGCCCTTGTACAGGTGGCACCTGTTCACTAGCGTTTTATGATTTTCACCTTTTTGGTGTGCGTGAGAACTGTGGACTACCACACATTCAGAGGACTTTTATGCATTTTGTAGATGACTTTGAAAATGTTATGTATTTTACACAAAATTTTAAGGAGTTCATAAATCTCCACCCTTCCTGAGCCAGTTGGCCCCTGAGCCCCTAGGGCCATGCACAGGGCAGCCTGTTTTTCTGTCAGCCCTCTCATTCTTCCCCTGCTGGCTGTCCCTTGATGAGCCACACCTGTTCATTGTCTCATCTCTCCCTCCCAGGGGCCCGGGAGCTGGCAGACCCTGGCCCAATCCCAACAGTGCTAACTCAGTGAGTATTCAGGTGGGGCAGGGTGTTTGCTAGGGAAGAGCTTCCTGGGCAGGGTGACTCCTGTCTCCAAAGGGTGTCAGACAGGGAGCCTGCAGCAGGGTTCCACCTGCCTGGGGTCAGTGAGGGGCTGCCCCTGGGTTCAGAAAATGATGTTCAAGGAGGCACGTCTGCCAGTGTCCTTTAGCAGGTCTGGTTCCTAGCTTCCGTGGCAAGACGGGGCTGGAGGCACAGTGCTGAAGTGCAGTGCGAAGGCCAGAGGAAAGCGGCGCCTGCTCTCTCCTGCCCTTCCTTCCACACTGGAGGCCTCCCTCTGCAGACAGGGCAGGAGACCAGACGCTGAGGATCCACACTGGGTGTTGCTCCCACCTCAGCCCTTCCGGGGAGCTGTCTGGCACTGAGCGCACTGGGTCCTGAGGCTTTTCTGGGAAGCGGGGTTGCTAAGCAAAGGGGCACTGCCTGCTGGGGAGGTGACTCCGACATGCAGCTCCCACATCTCCTTTCCAGATTCCATACTCCTCCTCGTCGCCCGGCACCTATGTGGTAAGTGTGTAGCAGGCCTGGGTGTTGTTTTTCCATGGGTGGCCAGCTACATGCATAGAACTGCTTGGGGTTCCTGCCTGTCCCATCATACAGGTTCCAAACTGCTGTGACTTGCAGTCAGTATGGGGGGAGGGACAGAAATCCCCAAACGAGACCAGGGAGGGGGCTCCTGGGAAGCCACCCAGAAGGCTGTTGGGAGGCACCCTTAGGCTTCTGCTGTCACCACTGGGCGTGCTGATGAGGAGCAGAAGGGGAACTCTAAGCCCAGCCCCTCAGGCTCACACCCAGCTACGATGGCCTGGAGTTCAGTGGGAAGAAATGCGCCTGGGCCTGGTGGTGGTCATGGCTTGCAGGATCGGGTGTGTTGGCCTCTCCTCATACCTGGTACCACCTGAGTGACTGATGCCAGCTTCTGTCTCTCAGGGACCCCCCGGAGGTGGTGGCCCTCCAGGAACACCCATCATGCCTAGTCCTGCAGGTAAGTGGGTTAGGGGACAAGGGACCTCCAGTGGGTGGCAGTTGCTAGGGAGCCCCGGAGGTTGGGGTGCAGAGCCCAACTTCCTGAGCAGCGTGTCCCCTCGGGGCATTGTGACACTGAGACATTCATTATAGGCTCTCCATGCCACCAACCCAACCCACTGTGCGGTCTCAGACAGGTCACACTTCTGGGTCTCAGATACTGCAAGGCTGAGCAGAGAGATGGGAGCAAGGGCCTTCACTGCCCTTTGCTCCTCCATGTTAGGAAAACCCTGTCCAGGGCCGGCATTGCCTGATGACACAAGATTGCCTTGGGGGCTCTGGTACTGTAAGCCATGGACCCTCGAGTGTCCAGCACTTGGGCTCCTGCAGCTCCTTAAAAGGTCCTTTGTCCCATTTTCTTCACTCAGAAGAGTGCATGTGTCTGCGCCTGTGGGCCTGTGCACACATGCTCACACAGCGTCACACTTCTGTGTCTTTCCCAGCTAAGAATAGCACGCCCGCCAGCCAGAAGGGATTCAACACAGCCCCTTCCCGTCCCAAAAATAAAAAGTGAGAGGCAGTCAGGATTTCTGCCTGAGAAATCCTGGGCCTGCTCCTGTGGCAGCATACTGGCTGATTTCCTGGGGAGGTTTCACCGGCAGAGTGGGGAGCTGGAGGGGACTCTCCCCCTCAGTTACCCACACAGGGAAGCTGCTCTGCTTTGGGTGGAGCTGGCGGCTGAGATAGGGTTCCGCTTCGGCTCCCTCTTCCGCTGCTGCATTTTGATGAGCTGCATGACCTACATTCAGACTGGGTCATGTTAACCCGCTCTGTATGTTAACGTGTCCCTGTCCCTGCCTCTCTTCCTGCCCCTCAGCCTGGCAGGCTGGCCCCTGGGCAATTTGCAGCATTTCCCCTTTCCCCAGTGGTGATTTGGGGAGCCCAGGTGGTGACCTCACTGCATGGGGAGACAAGAACGGAACCTGTAGTCCTCGTGCCATGTCCATGCTGCTGTCCACAAACCCTGAAATGCTTCATGGTGTGGTTGAGTGGTTTTCACAGTTGAATTTTCTGTGATTAAAAACTTTGTGAATCTTCATTAAATACAAATTAGCCAGAAAATGGTGGTACTTAGAGGAAATTTTAGGTGATAAAATACAAAAGAATGAGTTCAAGTGCCACGAGTTTGTTTTAATTAAGAAATGAATTAATCACCTCGACTTGCGGGTTTCCTCTGTTCTACAGATTCAACAAATTCCAGTGACAACATCTACACAATGATTAATCCGGTGCCGCCCGGAGGCAGCCGGTCCAACGTAAGTCTGCTTTCTAGTAATTTACATATCAGATCCCATAACAAATCATAATTAACTTCATCAGCTGAGGGGAAAGCAAGTTTAATTGATTTCAGCCATTTGTTACCAAAGATGAATAAAATAAACTGTCAGAAAAGTGATTAACTCTTGGGCAACCCATTGCCAGTTCTGTGGCAGGCAGGGGTGGCAGAGAAGGAGAAGGGGCCTGAGGCTGCCAGCTGTGCCGATGCAGGCCAGGCCTCTGGCCTCCAGGCTGTGTCCTTTTGTATGAAGGGAAGGGTGGAGACCTCAGCAGGAGTCCCTGGGTCCAGCCTGCCCAGCCTTGCTGCCAGGAGCTCTGGGACCCCGGTGCCCAGCAGCTCCACCTTTACCCAGGCCACGCTGCTCCCATCTTCCTCCAGAATCCAGCCTTCAAATCACCTTGCAGTGCAAAGCCTCCATCTGCTTCCTAATTGTTCCCTGATCCCTGGGGTAAGCTGGCCATGTGGCTGTGCTGCCTCCCTGGCCATCTAGGAGCTCCTCCAGCACTGAGCCTGGTCCACGCACTGTCTACAGACTGTGTTCAGGCAGAGGATCGGTCCAGCCTCAGGCTCCAGAGCCGCAGGTTTAGGGAGAAGAGCTGCAGAGCCACCCAGGCACTGTCTTTGGCCTGAGTCACGGGATGAAGCCTTTTGGGGCACACTGTTTGCTTTTATTGACCCAGTTCCTGAGGTAATACCCTAATCACACCATGTGTTAAGGCCGGGTGTGGCTGCCTGAGCCACTGCCCATACACCATCTCTGGCAGCCTTCGCTCTGGCCTGTGGACGTCACCAGGTTCTCAAGGCCAGGAAGTGCTCAGACACTTTCAGTTCGACACCTTTCTCCTGGGCAGCCAGCACTTGGCCTCGCCCCAGGCATGTGTGACTCCTCCTTACTGGGATTGTAGTGCAAAAAGGTCTTCTTCTGGAGGAATCCCAGGATACAAAATGTCCTGGGTGTTGGCAGCAGATGGAAAGTGGAGGCCCCCAAAAAGAGAACACTGGTTTTTGTATTGTTTTGAGTTTTGTGTTTTTGAGAAAGGGTATTACTATGTAATGCAGCCTGGCCTCAAACACTGCGATTCTCCTACCTCAGCCTCTCAAATGAGAACACTGTTTTCGGTGCCAGATTATCTGCCTTCCGTGGTCACTGTCACTATATTTGCTTGAGCGTGGATGCTAGCATTCTTGCCTTATGGTGTCGCAGCCTGCAGGCCACCTCTCAGGGCACCACAGTCACAGGCATCAAAAGAGTCCCACACACATTTTATATTGAGATAGTGTTAGCATTGTGAGTACTGTGACCGGGTTTCTATGAGCTCAGATGATGAAGAAAAGAGCACCAACAATGTGCGTACCAGCATGACCTCGCATCAGTGGAAAAGAAAGCCAAGTGCCCGTGTTATTTCAGTGACAGCCGGAAGAACACACACAACTGGATTAGAGCAGAAGAGAACCTAAACAATACAGAGAGCAGAAAAGAATTTGGGATTAGGCACAGCTACGCAGGAGATGGGGACAGACACATGCACATTGTTCTGAATCTAAGATGTCAGTGCGCAGTCAAAAGTAGCTGCTGGATTGGCTTGGGCACAGTCCAGGGTGAGCCTTGGTATTCTCTCACTCCCTGATTGTGCCAGGAACCAAGAAGGTTGCATTTCCTGATTCAGAGATGACATCGAAGGTCCTGTGTGTGCATGGAAGAGAGGGGAGTTTTGACATAGCAGACGTGTGGCCCTGTGGGGAGGGCAGATCCGTGTCGTCTCCCCAGCGTGCAGCAACGACACTCGGAGCCCGAGCAGAACGACTGTGTGGCAGGCTGCAGAGGGGCTCAGCACGAGCAAAGAAAAGCCAAACTCCTGCTAGGTCTTAGTACAGCGATTAAAAACTGGAGTTTTAAATACTATTTATATCTATGAAGATTTTAAGGAAACTGTGGGAAAAAGAAGATTATTGTTCTCTTCCCCAAACACAGGCTAGGCATTGCTCTCTTAGCTGCATATTTGGCAGAATGCACAGTTAATTGTGGCAAATTTTATTTAGTGTATAACTAGCTTACTATCAGAAATAAAAAGTAGCTTACCTGCTAAACTTCTGTATACCTTGTACCTAACAGGGGCTAGGCTGTGATCTGCCTACCTGTGATACCAGGTGTGTTAATGAAAAAGTTTGAAAAAAAAATCTAAGTTAATTTTGGGCCTGGAAGATAGCTCAGTAGAATAAGCACTTGCCTTGCAAGCATAAGGCCCTGAGTTCAATCCCTGGTACCGCAAAAAAAAAAAAAAAACACAGTTTGGGGTTACTTTTTAAAATTTTTTTTTTGTGTACATGTTTGCAGTACATAATGATGGTATTTCTCATGGGCAGAGGGTGCGTGTACATGACCCATCTTAATTCTTTTTATGTCCCCTTTTTCCTGTCCTCTCTCTCGGTCCCTTTGGGTCGCTTTTCAATGTCCTCAAAGCTGCAGAAGAACTTAGGCTAGCAAGCGCAGGGTTGTGAGTTCAATCCCAAGTACCACAATAAATAAATAAATAAATAAATAAATAAATAAATAAATAAACTTAGAAATGGAAAATGTTTCCCACATGCCTGCTGGTGACTGTCACTGTTGCCGCCATAGAAAAGGTGTTGTAGAAGGCGATCTTCATGACTTGAGTGAATCAAAGTTGTCTTAGAACTAGTATCAAAAGCACAAATAACACAAGAAGTGGACAAGTTGAATGTTCTATGCATCAAAAGGATACAAACAAGAAAGTTAAAATTGGCACTGTTCAGTAATAGCTGCCTGGCTCTTCAGTGTTGAGCCTACCTGCCTTCACCCTGCTGCCTCCATGTCTGTGAGGGTGACCCAGAAGTCCTGCTGAAAAGTCTGTGTTACAGGGGCAGCCGAGAAGGGTATCAAGGACCATCTGTGGAAACAGGTGTGAGGATGGAGATGGGATGGGCTTGTGGGTTAGGCTCTGCACCTCCAGGGCCGCGTGCTCACCAGAGCCACTAGGAGCTACCCGAGTTGCTCAGTCTCTCATGGAGGTTGTAGCAAAACCTCACACAGCAGAAATAATGACTTCTCGAGAATGAGACCGCTTGGGAACTGAAAGAGCATCCAGAGAAAGGACAACCACTTGGACTTCTTCGGCTTCTTGATTAAAACTTGTAACTTCTTTGGACTCTACCTGGGATCTCCCAGGGTCTTTACCTCTGTGCTTTGAAACCACTCTTCCTGAGAGACAACAGTTTCATTTAGAGTGACCTCTGTCCTGTGCACTCCGTATGTGTGCACACATTGGGCAGTGTGGCAGGATGGGTCCATCTGAGGCCTCTAGCTATGGAGGCCCCAGTTGCTGGGCAGTCCAAAGCCAGCCTAGAGCCTGCAATGTAGGCTGTCAAGAAGCCAGAATAGGTGGTTTATCAAGAGCAGTCACACTTGGGGAAGGCAGCTGAGCCAGAACTTGCTGCTGTGTCTGGGCCAGAAAGAACAGGTCAGTGACTATACAGTTTATTCTCCAGTGTCATTTATTTAACTAGTCCTTCTACTAACTGCTACTGTTAACATGTCCTGCTGTTATTTTGTTCAAATAATAGCATTTATATAGCAAAAGTAAATAACACAGAATAAATAAATGTTCTGAGACAACTAGGTAGCCCCATGCGGGCCCGAGATTGGACTGTTCACTGACACAAATATACCAAAACTAGCTCAGAGTAGATCATAGATCTGCACGTTAGAGCTAAAACTATAGAGCACCTAAAATGTAGAAGGTGACCTTCATGATCTGAGTGAATCAAAGTTGCCTTAGAACTAGTACTGAAAGCACAAATAACACCAGAAGAAAGTGGACAAGTTGGATGTTGTGTGCATCAAAAGGATACAAACAAGAAAGAAAAAATTGGCACTGTCCAGCAGTAGCTGCCTGGCTCTTCAGTGTTGGGCCTGCCTGCCTTTGCCCCTGCCACCTCCATGTCCGTGAGGGTGACCCAGAAGTCCTACAGGTGGCTATGTCTTGGCCCCAGGCCTTCAGTGGCCTCTCATATCCCAGCAGGCCAGGTTCCCACATCAGCTCCTCCAACTTCTCCCGAATGGGCAGCAGCAGCAGTTCCCAGGGCAGCCTTGGGCTGAGTAGCTGGGGGATGGGCTGTTGGTGTGGGAAGCATCACAACCATCCAGATGAACCAAAGCCTGCTGAACTCCCTGAACGGGGAGGTGGACCCCAATTCCTAGTCAGTGCACATTCAGAAGGAGCAGATCAAGAAGTTCAACAAGTTTGCCTCCCTTATCAGCAGCGTGCAATTCCTGGAGCTGCAGAACAAGATGGTGGAGACCGGCAGGGCCTCCTGCAGCAGCAGCAGTAGCAGCCGTCCCAGAGCAGTGTGGATGTGTTCAGAAGCTGCACCCATCTCTGGCAGCTGGCAGCTGAAGCTGGAGGCAGAGCTTGCAGCAGCAGGACTGGTGCAGGACTTGAGTAGTAAACACAAGGAGACCAACAGGTGCACACAGGTGGAGAGTGACTTTGTCCTCACCAAGAAGATGTTTCGTTTTTTTTTTTTTTGCGGAACCAGGGATTGAACTCAGGCCCTTGCACTTGCCAGGGAAGCACTTATTCCACTGAGCCATCTCCCCGGCCTCCTCACCAGGAAGGATGGGAGGAAGCTTACATGACCAAGGTGTAGAGCTTGTGTCTGGCCTGGAAGGGCTGAATGTCGTGGCCAGCTTTTTCTAACAGCTGTATAAAGGGGAGAGCTGTGAGTGGCAGCCTCAGATCTCACATACATCTGTGGTGCGGTCCACGATGACAGCCACTGCCTGCACCTGGGCAGCACCATCACTGAGGTCAAGGCCCAGGACAAGCAGATTGCCAACCCCCTCAGCCGAGGCTGAGGGCATGGGCCTGGTGGCATATGAGCAGTTGCATCTGGCTGGGAAGCACTGGGATGACCTCTGTGCCGCATGAGCCCTTGAGATGAGCTGCAGCATCGGCTGCCTCCGGGTACAGAGGGCATCCCTGGTTGCTACCGCCACTAATGCTGAGCTGGCCATTAAGGACGCTGGGCTGGTCCAGCAGGACGTCGCCCTGTGGAAGGCTACACAGCAACTGCCATGTGAGTAGCAAGAGCCTGGGAACATCAAGCTGGCAGTGCACATCGAAGTCACCACCTACTGAGCTGCAGGAGGGTGGAGAGCACAGGCTTGAAGCCGAGGCGCAGCCACACAAGATCTCCAGTGGCTGCACAGGAATGGTGAATGCAACATACGGGGGGCTCCTGAGCCCTGGCTCCTCCCACACCCAAGTCTGCGAGGTTCAGGAAGGTTGAGACCCAAGACAGGAGCTCATGTCTGAGAGCTCTAATATCCTGCCCAAGGGAATGGCCACGGCAGCCTCTCCAACCCACACCCCTCGGTTGGCTGCCCAGAGCCTGTGGAGATGGCTGCACACAGCAGCATTGGGAACAAGAGACCCAACCTGCCTGAGGCTCAGCCCTAGCTCTCCGCTAACACTTGGGAATACAGAATCAACTGCCTGGGGTACTCCTTGTCCATGCCCCCCACCAAAAAATGATTTTTCTTTTCCAAAATAAAGCCTGAGCTGGTTCTGCCACCTGGGGGAAAAAAAAAAAAAAGGAGCGATTGATGGTATGCATCTATAATCCCAGCTACTTGCTGTGTAGGTTGAAGCAGGAGGATTCTTGAGTCCAAGAGTCTGAGACCAGCTTGGATAATACAGTAATACCCTGTCTCAAAAAAAAAAAAAAAAAAAGAAAAGAAAAAGTTAAACCAAAAATCCATGGGATGGAAAAGCATTTGTAAATTACTTACCTGAGAAGGGATTTGAACTCAGAGACAGTCCAGTTAAAAAGGGGACGAGCCTCTGAACAGACTTCTCCAGATAATGCAGATTGATACATGGTCAGCCGCTGCTTCACACCACTAGGATGGCTGGAGTCAAAAAGACAGATCTGACTGGTGGGGAGGCTGTGGAGCATCCGGAGCACTCGCACAGGGCTGGTGGGTTTGTTGGGGTGCTGCTGTGCGGAGGAAACACGCTTGCACTGCTGGGCATCTCAGAAAGAAACAAGTGTTGGCCCCCCGGGAGCTTGCACAGTGGCGCTCACAGTAGCCCCAAATGCCAACCACCAGGCCACATTCTGCACTGGTGACTGGTTAGCAGAGTGTGCTCGGTCCGTATTTGGACATGCTAGTCTGGAGGAAAAAATAACAGACTCCTGAGTGGCAAGGAAAGATGCTGGAAACTTGCTGAGTGAAGAGTCGGCCACAAAGGTCGCATGCTTCCCTTTATATCCAGTGTCCAGAATAAACAGATTCACAGAGACAGAAGTAGATGAACAGTTCCGTAAGGCTGGGGTTGGATGGGAGCTGAGGAAAAACTGCTAATGGCACAAGATTTCTTTTTGAGGTGATGGAAACGTTCTAAAATTGATTGTGGTGATGGTTTGCACAGCTTCATAAATATACTAAAAACCACTGAATCATATGCTTTAAATGGGTTCACTGTGGTATGTGAGTTGTATCTCAGTACCACTGTTCATACACAATCATTTCAAATACGTCAAAGTATATTTTGTATGTTTAAAATAGTGATGTGTTTACATTAAGTAGCAGTGTGTCTAGAAGTGTAAATTATGTTGGCATGTGTTGTAGTTTTGTTTTGTGGTCCACTGTGACTGTATTGGCTTCTAAAGGCGGTTACCCTGACCCCGCATGGCTTGGGCTTTTGGCCTGATGGCCCAGTGGCTGTCAAAGCCGGCACCTAGCCCGATGCTGTCGCCGAGTCATGTACAGGTGGGAAGCAGCCCTGCTCCCTCCGTGCATTCCACCTGTGTGTGCACAGCTTTCTGTGCTGGACCCCGGGAGGACCTTCCGTGACTGCTCTGCCTGCCCAGCTCTCTCCCCAGTTATGCTGACACTGTGCTTCCATCCATGCAGCCTACCTAGCGCCTCTGCCCTCCATCCCATGGGGCAGTTGGGTATAGGGGCTGAGGTGCAGAAGCGATGGCTGTATGTCCTCAGCGTGTAGCCTAGGCCAAGTGCCCAGCAGCCCTCCACCCAACAGGTCCCACCTCTAGGGGGCAGCATGGAGCCTCGGCTCTCCAGAGTGGGCCTGTCATCCTTGCCCAGCCTCTCAAATGGGACAGGAGCACGATGGCCTTGGTCTGCCTTTCTGATGGGCTTGGTAGTTCTGGGAAAGGGCACAGGGCAGGTTCCCTGTCTGAACCCAGTTCTCCCTCACCCCCAGGCCTGTACCCCAGCTCCCCACCCTGCTTCTTGCTGCTCCTAGGCTGGCTATTCCAACACCTGTGCATGTGCCGTTATGGCTGGTGGGGCAGGCACTCAGCCCAGGGATGAGGATCCAGCAGGTGCCAGTTGAGAGAGTCTGTGGTGTGGGAGACCAAGGGCCAGTCCCTTTCCCTCTCTGGGTCAGGTCCCTTAGGCAGCCCATAGGAGCAAGCACCTGGGCCCTGCTCCCCAAGGGCTGAGGTGAGCAGCCTGCTCCCACCTCCCAGCCACTCAGTGCCTGCCAGAACATAGCCACCAAGGCTGGACACAGTGCCCTGGCCCTCAGAAGTGCTGGCCTGACCTTGACCTATTTGCTGTGCCCACTGAGCCGTGCTGTGTGCTTTTCCCTCAGTTCCCAATGGGTCCTGGCTCGGACGGCCCGATGGGAGGCATGGGTGGCATGGAGCCACACCACATGAACGGATCCTTAGGTAAGGCAGCCCCACCCTACCCAGCAGCCTTCTCTGTCCCCAGCTCTGCCTTGGCCAGAATGTGGCAGGATCCTGAGAGAAAGAGGATGCCCAGCTAGGAAGTTCCCTAGAGTGTGGGATTGGGGGAAAGGGCTTGGGGACCACACCCCCCCCCACCCCCCGCCCAGGGAGGATGAGGCTATCCTCAGCTGCTAGAGGCCCCTGGCAGGGGAGGGAGTGAGCAGGGAACTAAACAAGATTCTTTTTCTCTTTCAGGGTCAGGGGACATAGATGGACTTCCAAAAGTGAGTGCTCAATGCTTCCATCAGTGCCCTCCCCGCCCCCAAGGGCAGGCTGTTGGGGACCCAGAGATTCACCCCCTCTGCTCTCTTCACAGAATTCTCCTAACAACATAAGTGGCATTAGCAATCCTCCAGGCACCCCTCGGGACGACAGTGAGCTCGGAGGGAACTTCCTTCACTCCTTCCAGAATGACAACGTAAGCCCTGCCACCTCTCATGTTCCTCCCCAGCCCGGGTCCTCTATCCAGCACTTTGGGGGCCTTGTGGCCACAGTCTGGCCACTGAGTAGGTGCCCCGGCAGCCATGCTGTAGGCTTTTTACCCTGGTAGTTTTTCCTTACCTAGCACAGAGCTGTGGCTCCTGCCAAGTCTGCCAGGTGACAGAATATCTGGACACCATGGGCTAGATGCCCTGGGCGGAGCAGGGTACCATGCCCTGCCTGGGAGGAGGCTCACACCACCAGGGATTCTCCACATGCTGGATCCTCTGCATTTCCAGCTGCTTTTGTGCAGTGGACTCCTGCACATGCTCATTTGAAGCAGGTGGCCTTTGAGAGCCCTAGTCCCTGCGGTCCCAGTTTCCAGGATTGATTCACAGAGGGGACAGGCTGGGGAGGCCTGTCAAGAGGTCCCTTGAACTCCTACCTCCTTGTCCTCATCCTGCCTTCCTAGATCCTCGTCCACCGGGTGCTGCCCTGTGCCCTCAGCCTGCACTCCTGAGCTCTGCACCTGTGGCCTGCACTGACGTCTCTCTCCTCTGCTTCTCCCCTCTAGTATTCTCCAAGCATGACGATGAGTGTGTGACCCCCTTCTCCAGGAAGCTGAGAGAGCCAGCCTTGCAGGCGGGAAGATACCAGGAATTATGCAAGAAGTGATGAGGTGTCATTACCAGGAGCTGGGGAGGGCGTCTCCCCACTCTCCTCAACCCTTTCCTCCACATCCCACCTCCCCCAATTTTAGTTTCACACAATAAAAAGGCTGAACTTTTTATTCCATAAAACATGAAGGACAAAACTCAAAAATGTATTTCAAGACAATGACCTGGAAAGCCCTACCCCTTGCCCTTTCCCAAAGGACCTTTTCTGTACATGACACTTTTTTGTTGTTTTTTGTTTGTTTGGGGTTTTACCGATGCTGGGATTTTTTTTTTTTTTTTTATTATTATTTGTTTTCAGGAGAGATTTCTTTGGGAAAAATTTTTTTTAAATGGAAGCTTCTAGCAACTCCCCCTACTCAGCCAACCTGTTTGCTTTCTTTAAAAAAAAAAAAAAAAAAAAAAAAAAAAAAAGGAAAAGGAAAAAAGGATTAAAAAAAAGAAAGAAAGAAAGAAAGAAACCACAAGCCCTGCTGTCTATCTGTCCCCACGCCCTGCCACCAGGAAAGCTAGTCTAGGCGTGAGATGCCACACTGTCTTTGTAGCCATCTAAAAATAATAATAATGAACTGGACAGTTTACAACCCGTAGTTTCTTTTAAACAGCCTTTTGGGGAAGGAATTGAAAGGAAGTCGCCCTTTTCTGCTTGGGGATTTTGGTTTGTGGGACAGGCAGGGGCGGACAGGAACCTGCTTTGTTTGGGCCTTGCTGGCAACAACAGCACACCTGGACCCCTGGACGAAGCCCATCCCGTGGCCAACAGACCCCTTCCTGGACTCCCGTGGCTGCCGCTGCTGTGACCTGACCGGCGCATGCACTGTGTCCCCAGGACGGCCTCCTGTCCCTCCTGGGCCTCCTTCCTGGCCTTTGCCTCCAGGCCTTTGCAGCCCTGCCCTGGCCTCCCAGCGAGAATCCTGCCCACCTGGTGGTGGCCCCAAGCAGAGCAGGTGAGGCCACCACCGACAGGATGGCTATGACCTGGGACTTGGAAACCGCAACCTCTGCATCTGGGCCTGAGATCTTGCATCGTCGCTGTGTGCGTGGGCAGGGTGGGCTGGAATTTGGGTTTTCTTTTTCTTTACCCCTTTTTTTCCTCCCCTCTTTATTTGCCCTCCTTTTTCAAAGATGGGCTGTTGACCAGAATTGCTCTGTAAATGCTTGGAACTGGATGGAAGACTTCAGCATAGCTCTGGGGGGGTGGGGGGAGCACCAGAAACCAAACAGACATGCTGTTTCCAGTCCTGTTTTTATTTTCAAAAACCGATGAACCCAACGGTGGAGCCCAGCCCCTCCTAGAAGGGGTGACTCGTGACACCTCACCCCCACGGAAACCTTTGTGTCTCGCCCTGGAAGACACCAAATTCTTTGTACATTTACACTCCCCTCTCCTCCTCCCCCAGTAGCTGGTCTTTGTTTTATTACCGCCCCTTTCTGATCCATGTATATCATATTATGTGAGATACCATCTGCCTGAAAAAAGACCTTGTGCGGATTATTGGGAACATTGTAGCTGTTTCTGTGTTTTTTCTTACCTTGTAGTCTGGTTCTGAATTACGAGAGGAAAAAAAGTAATTATGATACATTGTAGTTTGTGTACGATATATGTTGATAACGTTTTATTAAAGGGACATCTTTTTTCCGCAGCCCTTCCTGACATGTTTGGGGAATGTGGGTTGAAGTTTATTATACTGATCACAAAATGCAAGGTGACTCTTCAGGCACCAAGTGTTTGTTCCTGGCATGAACAAAATTCTGCTTTTTGTTTCTGCTATCTTCTCCCTGGGCAAGCTTGATCTGAATTTTTACAGAGAGTCACAGGCCTTTGGGGAAAGTGTGCTGGGGTAGCAGGCATGAATGGCTGCTTCGAATAGTCTGAGCCAGGTTCTGTTTCTCAAGTCTTGCAAACCGTTCCCCATTGTGTCTGCCCCTCCTACCCTGTACTAGGCTCTGAATCCAGGGCCTTTGTGTTGAGCTACATCTCCACCCCACCCCCCATTTTTAAAAAATTTTCAATTAGCATCTCAAAGTTACCCAGGCTGGGCCTCAACTCATAACCTTTCTGCCTCAGCTTGCCAGCACTCTTGGGAGTGTGCCGTGCCCTGCTCTGGTTCTGGAAGTAGAGCTTCCTGCTGCCATTTTCTGTTGGAATCAAGAGGTGAGGATGGCCCTGTACTGACCCCCTTATCCCCTCCCCTCAGGCAGCAAGCACCCTATGCTTTGTGAAGCCCCTCCAGACTGGTGAGCCTGGTGTGCAGGGAAGCATGGGGTCAGTGGGAGGCCCCGTAGGTGCTGGGCCACTGGAAGGCTGTTTTTCTTTGCTGTCAAAAGCAATAGACTTTGAGGATTTTCAGAGTAGCACAGATGGAGCTGCAGTGTATAAAGTGCTGGGTGGAGCCATCCCCAGCTGCCACACAGGCAAGACACTGAGGGCTGGGGCAAGGTGAGTACCAGGGGCACAGGCCACTGATCAGCATGTTCAGAAAGTAGAGCCAGAGTGCTGGGGACCTGATCTCAAGCAAGGTGTTCAGACAAGACTTTACCTTTGCCACTACTTGCCAGGTGGCTTTCGCAGGTTAATTTATGCTTCTGCCTTGGTTTCCTCCTGTAAGTGCGGGCAGTGGCTTACCTGACTCATGGAGTTGGGAACAGCAGTCAGTGAAAGTTGGGCTTGCCACTGGTAGTACTGCTGCTTATTGAGAAGCATGTGGCTGGGCCAGGGTCTGGAAGACCCCACTTGATCCTGGGGTCCTCACCAGGAACAGGATGCCCTTGGCTTTTTCTTGGTGTAGCACCTTTGAGTCACTGGAGACATCCCCACTGACAGGTGAGACTCAGGCTGCATCTGCCCCCTGGCCTTTAGCAGCTGCTGCACACCCTGGAGCTGGGCAGGACAGGGCCTGCACTCACGGCCTGTGCCACCTCTTTCTTCAGCACAAGTTGGGCTATCAGGGCACTGTGGAAAAAGCCCCACCCATCACCTGGGTCTCCAGTGGTCTAGTTCCCTTCACAACACAGACGGCCCTGGTAAAAGTTGCTCAGAGGTGGCTTTTCCAAGGCCAGGCCTTTGGACAGGACCTGCTCCCATTCCCCGAGTGTCCTCACTGCCCAGCCCCAGGCTAAGAGATGCAAGGGCAGTCTGGCTATGTACCGAACCAGCAGGAGTGCTCTGGAGGGAGTCCTGCCTGGCTGTCCTCAAGCAAGGGCTTCAGCTCATCTGGATGGGGTGAACAGGGACCATAGCTATTGTGTCCCTGCTGGTCCTTATGTCCACAAGGCCCCCAGTTCCAGTGGAATGGCCAGTCTGGGGCCCAGAAGCAGGGGCTTCTGCCCCTCCCTAGAAGCAGCACCCCCATCCCACCCTGCTGGAAAAGGACAGCCTGAGGCAGATGGACTGGCGCTGCAGCCTGCTCCCTGGGTGACCCCAAGAAACCCACCCCAGCCCCCATAGTGTTGGGGGTGTTACTCTCAGATTCCACAGACTAGAAGGTGGGGCCTAGGGTACTCCAGTGCTCCCCAGGGCTTGGGTAGAGACCAGGCAAGGAGGCAGAAGGTACTGAACAGTGCAGGTGCAGCTTGCTCAGCCCCTTCTGCCTCCTCAGCAGCAGTGTACAGCTCTCACTGAAAGGGGTGGTGGGGACTAGCCTGCTCTGCCACCTGGGCTGACTGGACCCACACGAGGCTTAGAATGGGGACTGAAGTGCCAGCCAGATAGCTCAATGGACTAAAGCCCCTGCTTAGGCAGAGCGTATTGGCTGGGGTTCATCCTCAGCATGCAGTGCCAGCCCTACCCCTAGGGTGCCCTGAGATGGTGACTGAGACTGGGTGTGGCGGCACACACCTGTAATCCCAGCACTTGGGAGGCTGAAAACAGGAGAATCACTGCAAGACCAATCTGTGTAGTGAGACTTTGCAGACTCTCCTAAATACATTAAAAAAAAAAAAAAAAAAAAAATTCTGAAGTTGGAAATGAACCATGTAGGAGCACAGGCAGGCCCATCATGTGCCACACTGGCTCTTCCCTCTGTGGAGCCCAAGCCCTTGGCAGCTGCTGTCTGGACATTCAGCCACCTCTGAGTTCCTTGCCCTGGTCTGTCCTGCCAGTGGACATAGCTCCTTTTCTGAGCCTCCAGACTCCCTTCGCCCCCTCACTGGCTTGGCTGAGGAGCGTAATAGTGCAGACCTGGAATGATGGCCATGCCGTCTACAGATGGGTGGCAGCAGGGAGATGTACTGGGCAAGTAAACTGAGGCACGGATGAGCTCTCTAGAAGTCAATGGGCAGGCCTGGGGATCACTGGGATCTGGTGGCACTGAGTGGCCTTAGAAGCCTCAGGTCATCTGAGTGAATGGCTAGGCCCTCAGTGATCAGAAACCCAGGAACCTGGCTGGCAAGAGGACAGGAGAACCAGGGGGCAAGTGCAGTAGTGGAGAGTCAGCGCCTCAGCTGGGAGGCCCCAGCTGCAGCATCTCACAGGCCTCTCCTGCCCCAACTGCACACTGGAGTTTTGCCCTCCCTGTGCCCTAGCTTGCCCTTCAGAACCTAGCTTAAATACCCATCAGGAGACCTTGTAGGCTGGGGCATCTCCCTGGGTCCCCAGTGAAGTGCCTGCCTCCTCTGAGCCAGGGTCTGTGAGCTGTCTTTGTCTCCGGAATCACACAGCCCAGGGCCTGGCTTGTGCAGGTGCTCTGTGCAGGCCCTCAAAGCAGTAAGTCATCACCCAAGACATGCTCAGACACATCCTTGCCCAGTGCATGCTGTCACCCATGAGCAAGTGCTCAGCTGTGGGGAAAGAGGTGGCCTTTATGGGGGGCCTGGACAAGGGAAGTGGCTGCCAGCAGTGGCTACCAAGCAGACAGTCTGGGGGGAGGGACCATCGCTCCCTGTTTGCATAGATCCCAGCAGGCAGATAGCAGGTACAGAGCTTTGAAAATGGGGGCTTGTCAGTTGGCAGCAGGGAACCCCAGGTTTGCTCCCCAACCATTCCTGGGCTCCAGTGTGGTCTTGCTGGGGAGAAGAGCCTTGGCGACCAAGGTGGGTGTCCATATATGGAGGAGCTGGTTGTGTTCCCCGTGCCTCCAAGCAGCTCACAGAGAACCCTGACCTCACACAAGGCCCATGGAGCCTCACACCTACCAGGACACAAAGAGTCTCCTGACTCGAGATGGCAAACACACCCTCACTGTGAGGCTGTGTGAAGACCAATAAGGTGCCAAAGTGCCTGGCATCACCACATGGCATGTGGCCAGGACCTGATAGCACTGGAATGAGCAGAGCCATATGACCTGGGGCGCTGGGCTCATCTAGCAGGAAATGAGTGAGGGTCTGCCCTGAATACTCTTTCTGCTCAGAGCACCATGGGGTACCACGTGTGCCGCAGGACATGTGTAATCCAGTAAGAGCTTGGCGCTGTGTGGGGCATCTGTGAGGCAGGCAGTCTTAAAGATTATGCTGGCCCCAGTTTCTGGTGAAGAAACAAACTGAGGATGAGCTCACCCAGGTCACGATGTGTGCTGAGGCAGGACAGACTCCATGGCCTGCAGCTGTACAGAGACACCTCACATCAACAGACTCCAGTGCAGCCAAGGGCTCTTTATTGCCAAGGAAAGCAGCAGGCCGAGTGGGCACAGAGGCCCCAGGCACCACCCAGGATGCAGGCTCCTTGGAGGGAGACGCGTCAGGGCTCAGAACATCCTTGCTTACACAGCACCATGCAGATACAGGGCTAAGAACTTCTTGAAGGTCTCTGGCTGGAAATCAACTGGCCCAACCGGCTCCTGCGGAGAACAGAGCCCATTAGGACCCTGTACCAGGTTTAACAGTAGCAACTGAAGTCAGTTGACCACAGGTCAATCCGTAGGACCTGGGTATTTGTTCCCTTTCCTGTACTCCCTCCCTCTTGAGCACCAAGAAAGCTCTTGGGCAGCTGGCACTGAGGAGGCCCTGAGCCAGGAAGCTCTCCTGAAGCCATCAGCTGGCACAGCCTCTCCCTAAGTCCCCTCACTGCAGCTGCAGGATAAGCACACTGCTGCCACTCAGGCCACATCATGCACTGGATGCCTGGGTCCCTGTGCAGGAGGCGACAGTGTATGAACCTGCTCCTCAAAGAGCTGACAGGTGCTCAGATAGAACCAAAGGTGACAGATCCCACTGCAGAATTGGGAAAAGTAGCTACAAAGCAGGGGAAATGACCAATTCACTGGCTTCATACATGGAAGGGTAGGAGTGGGCCAGAAAGAAAAAAGCACAGGGAAGCCCCACATAGCCCCACACACAACTACTGTTGGGGGGGTGTAAGTGACAACAGGCGGGGTGAGGGCCGGGCTGCAGCCCAGGCACAGGGCAGCGGTGAGACAGCAGGAGCTATAGCTTCAGGGCAAAGTGGGAACCAACCAACCAGACCACAGGCCTGGTACTTAGTTCAAATTCTGGAAGGAAGAGGCTAGAGGGAAAACAGGCAAGGAAGGAGAGTAAGAACAGAGGTGGAGCAGGCTGGGGTGCCCATGCAAGCCTGTGACTGGGTCTGAGAAGTGAAACCATGCTGGCATGCTGAGGGACTGGTCATAGAAGTGATGAGGACAATGTTTAATGGTCCCATGACTCCACTTAGCAGCTGTATGACTTGCGGAGGTCCCTCAGGACACCACTGGGCATTGCCCCACAGCACCCTTGCCCCACCCACTAGGGCCTTTCATTCCTTGGGTCCCACACACCAGACTCAGGACAATGGCCCTCCTCCCTCAACGTCTGCAGCCCCCTGGGCACTCTAGGACTGCAGGTCCTCCCAGACCCAAGCACTAGGCTGGAGACAGCCACACTCACCACCACCACCTTCTTTTTGATTACAGGGAGACACCAAAAATGCCGATAGAGGAGCTGGTCTGAGTCTACCCAAACCAAGTTCTTGACGCCCTCATTCGAGGCCAGATCTGTGGTGTTCAATTGCAGCACCAGGAACTGGAAAATGCGTCCATCTGTGCCCACGCTCTGCACAACCACGGGTTGCTCCAAGACCTTGCTGTCATTCTGAGAGGAAAGGGAGCCCAGTAAAATCTCAGAAACCATGGAGTGTGAGGAATGGCACAGACCAGGCGGCCTTGCGCTCCACCCTACCACCCACTCATTCCCTTTTCATGGCTCCCTTTGGGGCAGGAGGTGCTCAGGGCCCTGTTTGGCTCTGCCTGTCCTCCTGTGCCTCACAGCCCCAGAAAGCTGGACACATCAACTTGAGCATAGGAAACTAAGAGTTTCCACCACTTCAAGGCAGATCCTACCCACAGAGTTTGGGTAGACAAGCTGGGAGTGTAATGATAAGCTTGCAAGCTCACTGAAACAAGAATGACATCAACTATCAAATGTCCTCCTGAAGGATTGCCACTTGGTTCTCATTCCATTTGACAGATGAGGAAACTGAGACTTGCTGAGGTAAAATGACTTGTCAGGAGTCACAAAGATGTGTGCCACTGGAAAACAGAGTAGCTCAGACACCTTGTTCCCAAGTGCCCGGAGCCCTGGACTGTCTACACCAGCCAAGACTCCCCATTTCTGGCACCTACCAGTCATACTGAAAGCACATCCTGAAGGTGTGCTAGGCATAGGTATCTCACCAGGTTTTCCACTTTTCCACTCTCACAAACCTAGAGGCATGTTCTCACTTCACAGACAAGGAAACTGAGGCCCAAAGAGGTGGTATAAATTGCTCAAGGTCACCCAAGAGGTGTAAGCCAGGATCAAACCTAGGCTGTCAGTCACATCATTTAAACCCTACTGTTCTGGCTGGTCCCTGGTGTCCTGATGTATCTGACAACAGCACCTCTTGCTCTCAACAGTGTCCCTGTTGGGATGATAAATCACCTGGCCAACCTACAGAGACTCTGCAGCAATCCAGTTAGGTGAATGCTGCAGGTCTTTCTGGACAAAGACCAAAAGTGCAGGCCCCATGAAGCAGGGCAGCCCTGATTCAAAATGCTGCTGCCATCTCCCCTCCAGGGTTGATCTGACGTTAGGCATAACTAACAGCAGACCTCAGCATGGGTCACACCAGGGCTGCTGGCCTCAGAAATACCTGTTCTTAGCTGCATGAAAGATAAATAAAAAGAAAAGTACCTGTAAGTGTTAGCTGAGAATTCGGTATTGACTCTTATCTCCTCTACAGATCAATAAAACTGCAGGTAGTACATAAATTTCTCAGCAATTTTACCTTTTACATGGAGGCTCTTCCCATAATTGCTCAACTTCACATCCCCAGGAACAAATTGTACCTAGAGGGGGTGGAGGAGGCCTCCTTTCCCACCCAACTGGGTGGTAATTAGTGGCTGCACTGCTACCCAGGCTGTGTTGGCAATCCTAGCACAGCAGCTACCCTGAGCCCTGGGCCCGAGGGGTGGCCTGTGCCCACCTTCTCCCACTGCTCGAGCTGGGTGGCAGCACACTTTTCAAAGGCAGAGGAAGCCTTGTTTCCCCACTCAGTAGCTGTGGGATCTCAGGCAGAGTTGAAGTTTTCACAGCCTTCAGAAAATTTAAGAGAAGAACCAGGGATATAGCTTAGTGGCTTAAGCACCTGCCTAGTAAGGGCAAGGTCCTGAATTCAATCCCCCAGTATCAAAAAAAGTGTAAGAGAATAGGAATAAAACTGGCCTTCTAGGATCAGAAAGACACATGGTCACACAAAGATGTGCACCTGCTAATGACCCCTAATCTATACTGGGGATTGGATCCAGGGCTTTGCACATGCAAAGCAAGTACTCTTCCATCCAGCTACCCTCCCAGGCAGCTTGCTAATCTCTTAGCTGTGTGATCTTTAGCAAGTTACTGAGCCTCCCTGGGCTTCTGTCTCCCCCTGTGCAAAATAAAGCCTACTGCATCTGCCACGTGGGACTATTCCTAGCAGTAAATCACACAGTGGTCCTCAAATTTGAGTACAGCTGTCAAACTTGAGGATGTATCAGCTTTACCCAGCATGGGGGCTTGTTTAAACATTGAGGAGCACCGGAAACTGAGGCTTCAGGGTGGATGACCCTTTGTGCCTTCCTTGCCCGCCCGCCACTCACTGCTGCAGAACTCCATGTGGAAATGGGGCCTTCTGACACTTCGTGGGCTGTATCTGGGAAAAGCAGAGGCAGGCAGCTGGCCCCGCAGAGGTAAGTGCATAGGAACTGGGGAAGTCCTCCTCCCTGAGATTCCTCTGGGCTTCCTTCGTGCTCTGAGCTAGCTTGTAAAGCAGGAGACCAACAAAGAGTAAGGGTCTTCCCCACATACGTACCCCATAGAGGAGCCGTGCCTGGGCCAGGGCATTGCCAAAAGCAAACAATATCATCTTGGCCCGTAACTGCTCTGGATGAAAGCGATGTGACCGCAACTTGGCTGTCTCCAGTAAATACAGGGTGTGGCAAAAGGGGTACGGATAGCCCTCCTGGAACCCTGCAAGACAGATCCACAGTAATAAACCAGCCTGCCAAAGAGCCTCAGATTACCTCAGGATGGGCGCTACGGAGACTGCAGGAGGCACTCGCTACCCTCTCACTGGGTGGTGGCAGACTGGCTGTGGGCCGCACACTGCCTGCCACCTACTTTCACGAGTAGTGTTTTTTCTGTCACACATCACTCCCTTTCATATGTTTCCTGGTAGCTGTGAGACACCATACGTGGCTGGGGAAACCTAAATTGACTGCTACTGGCTCTTCAAAGAAGATGGCTACCAACGTATGACAGGTGCTTCCCCCATGCTCATTCTAACTCCAGTCTTTCTCTTAGTCAAGCACCTGTATGACAGTAACATTAGGAGGTAGTTAACCAGGAAGCTATAGTGACTATTCAAAGAGTGTGATCATCTGCAGAATTCAGGACTTTAGCATGAACGACAGACGATGTGCCTCATACCTCACAGGTTATCAAAGCTGAGCACTTGCACCTCTCAGCCACAACCCCAACAAACCCCAATCCTCCTCTGCTATAGTTAGGAGTAAACCCTGGGGGGGAGAGGATTGTACAGTGAGTGACCAGGACCAGTGAACAGGGGTGAAAGGAAGAGAAACAGGCTAGGGAGTACAGGCTCTGAAACCCTCAAGGGGAGCACTAGCCGAGTGTCGCAGCTTTCCTGCAGGCCTTGTTCCTCATGGCTGCTCTGCTACTCGGCACTCGCATGGTGCCAGGCTCTCAGCCAGGAGCAGGGCTCAGCTGAGCCTACCACCACCTCTGAGTGTTCGAATCACAGGTGATTCAGGGTGCTGTGAGAAGACAGGGACAGAGCCCCTAGTGAGACAAGAGTGCAGCTTTCCTGGGAAGAAGTGAGGTATTGGCAAACTGCAGGCAACTGAGAACAAATGGACCAGAGTCCAGCATAGGGAAGACATGCACAGTGGAGAGGAAGAGCGTGAAATTCAAGGAGCAGCTGAAATGAAAGGGGAAAGGGGACAGCAAAGATGAAACTGGAGATTTAGGAAGGGGTTGTGAAGGCCATCACAGGAGAGGTAAAGAGAACCTGCCATCCCCACAGGCAGCATGAGATGGGCGAAGGGGCATAAGGTTAAGCTGCCATTCTAGAAAGGCTGCCCCAGAACTACCAGCTAGAAGGAATGGAGAGAAAGCAGCCAGGTCACACTGACCAGTTGGGGAGTAGCAGTGAGGCGAGAGACAGTTAGGAGAAAGCCTACAGCTTGTGGTGGAGAGGTGTGCTAGACAGCTCCTTCTGGGCCGACAGTGGAGCTCTCGGGATGAAATTCGGTTTCTGAGCCCTATCCAAGGGCGGTGGGGGAAGGCAGAGGGTATAGGGTTCACAGGACCTACAAATAAAAGAAAGGCCTTGGTCGGAAGCCCCTCAAGCCACTATTACAACTCTAATGTAACACAGTTACTTAGGGTTTAAATGTAAAGTCAGCCTTTGAGCAAACAGCTCCCTCCCTGAGCCACCGTCTCCTTGATAACAGCATCTGCTGCCACACAGATCTTAGAACACAAAGTGCCTGGCACCTGCTAAGTTCAAAACATCCTTTCCCTTCAGAAAAAACATGTCCCTCAACTCCACGTGGTAGAAAAATAAAAGGCTTTGCTTCTCACCTGTATCATCCTTCATTTCATACACATTGCACTCCTGAAGATCAATCACAGGGGATATGGGGTAGAAGGTCTCCAGAACATGATTCCGAGTGGCTTCAACCTCCTCTCTGGAGGCGATGGGGGGCAGAGGATCTTTGGCACTCAGCCGGGTGCCACTACTACCTCGGACCTGAAGGAGAAAAGACTCTAAAAGGGGGAAAAGATGATTAGTCCAACCTGGTCTCAAGCTTTCCTAGCTCAACAGAATCTGGGGCTTTCAATGCCCCTGCACCTCAAGTCTGTGACAGCTTTTCTACATGACTGGCCTAACCCCGAACTCAGGACTTAGCAGGATGTCAGTTCAGGGGCCCTAGGGAGGGAGATGAGCCAGTGTACTTTTCTTCCTTCATTCCCTGAGGCCTACTAATCCCTGGGAGTCTGAGCTGCTCCACACAAATTTTCCAAGTACCAGCTCTAAGAGAGCCGCTCTCTGCTCTCACAGTGCTCACCAGGAGACAAAGGCTACAGCAACAAGTAGTATCCAGATTCAGATACAGCTCCGGTGAGAAGATAAACCTCGGCAGAGGCTTGAGGAGTACCCTGAAACAAGCAGTGCCTTAAAAGCAGGCATCTGACCAGGCCTAGTGGCACATGCCTATAATCCCAGCTACGTAGGAAGCCAAGGCAGAAGACTGAAGTTTGAGGCCAGCCTAGGTAACTTAGCAAGACCCTATCTCAAAATAAAAATAGAAAGGGCTACAGATATAGTGCAGTGCTCCCTGGGTACAATCTCCAGTACTGAAGGAAAATGAGATGGAAAGAGCAGGGTTTCCCAACCTGGGCCCTTATCCACAGGTAAGGTATGTGGCAGCAGCCATATTATCCAGTACAGTCTTTCCCCATCCAAGGCATGACAATTAAAAATCCTTCCAGATACTACCCTGCATCCTCTAGAGGAGGACAAAATTGTTCTGGCTGAAAACCCATGAGGTAGGCATCTGGTAGGCAAGGAAAGGAGAAGAGAAGCATTCAGGTGAAGGGGGAGTAACACAGGCAACCCCAGGGGGAAACCATCCACATGACCACTGCATGACACGGCAGGGAAGGTGGGAGATGGAGAGAAGCAGGGAGAGCGGAGGAGGGGAGAGGCCACGCAACCCAGCAGGGGCTGGGAGTGAACAGTGGGCCAAAGGCTTGCGCAGGTCGGATGCACATACATGTCACAGAGCTGCAGGTGGCCTGCAGAAACAAACTCAAGGCTGACTACACAGTGACTGTGTGGATGCCCCTCGGGGTCCCCACAGGAGGCCACAGGCCACCAGCAGACAAAATGCACCTGAGCATGGCCTGCAGGCCTCCACAGAGACACACTTTACTCTGCAGAAATAAGCTTGCTCACAGTGTGGACATAATGGATCAAGGTTGGTCTTCTTTTCATTTTTTTTGAGATAGGATTTCACTATGTAGTTCACGCTGCCCTTCAACTTGCAACACAGCCAAGGTTGGCCTTCAGCTCACAGTGATCCTCCTGTCTCAGCCTCTGGAGTGCTGGGACTTTATAGGTGTGTGCCACCTTGCCCAGCTAGGTCTGGGCTTATAAGTCTAAAAATAGGTTTGGTCACCAGCATTGCCATTTAATTAGTGTACAGCCTCCCTTACTGGGTAAATAACATCTGTGGACTGATAAACCTTGATCTGCTTGATCATCATCGCACCTCAAGATTAGCTTCCAAAGCATTTCCTGTTTCCTCACATAAAATCTGCAAGGAACATAAATGTGCCTGGCCCTCTCCTAACCTTGGGTTTTACATTCTCCCCACAGACCACTCTAATGTGGTTACTGATTCAATGCCCTCCACATCCCTCCTCCAGTGACAGCTCCAAATGGGCAGTTTAATTAGAGGTGATACTTGATGACAGGCCAAAAGAACTCCTCCATTAATGAGGTGCACTAATTTCCTTAGTGGTGCCATTACCTCTGCAAGGCTGACTCCTTGCCAGGAAGTCCATATGCAAAGGGGTGAGCTGGAGAATCTGACCAAGCAGGTGCCCCCAAGTCCCAAATCACCCACAGCTGGTTTCCCTGCTCTAGAACGCCACCCCAAGAGCACCTGTGTCCTCTCACACTGCTGCCACATCAGAAAGCCGTTACTTGTTCACCAACCCTACAGTGAGTTCCCACTGTGTGCCATGACCTGTAAGACGCTGGGACAAAAGGAGCAAGACATGGCCTTGACTGTCAGGAGTTCGCAGACAGAAAAGCTCAAGGAGGCAGACAGAAAAGCCATGGGGCTGCTGCTGCAGAGTGTGATAAGCATTATGGCAGCATAAGGAGCATCCAGAGACGGGCGTGAGAGATCACGTTCAGAACACACTCATCTTGGTTCTCTATGTGGTTCTGCAGGTCATCAACAAAGCTGAGAACTTTCTCAGGAAGGGGGCAGCACAAAGCCAGCCTAGACTCCCCAGGAAGGGTCTCAAGCTGAGTCTTGCAGTCAAGTACAATTTGGTCACAGGAAGAAAGTGAAAAGAGCACTCCAGTTGGAAAAGTTGCCAGGGCAACTTAGGTTTGAGGGTAGGAGACGGGGCATTAGAGGAGGACGTAAGACTAGCCAGACTAGGCCAAATCAGGGACAGCTTTATACATGATGTAAATGGCTTAAGCTACTGGGAGATGGTTAAGGATTTAAGTCTGGGGAGACATAGACAAAGAGCTGCACCGTCGAAAGGCTACTTCAGTGGCTAATGTTCAGCGTGGATTTGGAGAGTGACATGTGAAGGGGGCAAGAAGGCTGTTGCATAGAATAGGAACATGAAGAGGACAGAAAACTCAGTATGCTTTATTATTCTCTTATCTTTAGCATTTAGGCACTCCCAGGCTCATTGTGGCACATGGTTAGCTGTTAATGATTGAATCAACAATCCCAGAAAGTGATTACAATTTTAAAGGTAGGACTATAACTAATGATACTGATGCTGTATCTGACCCTACAAAACTGGACTGTAAAAGAGTAGAGAGGTATCCGAATAGAGTGATGTGGCAGGGGAGCTGAAAGCAAAAACAAAGAAACAGATCAAGGAGCCAGTGATATAGCTCGGTGACACAGCACCTGCCTGGCAAGCATGAGGTTGTGAGTTCGTAATTCCCAGCACAAAAAAAAAAAAAAAAAAAAAAGGAGGGCTGGTGAGATGGCTCACTGGTCTAAAGCACCTACTTAGAAAAAGCTTAGCAAAGCACAGGGACCGCTGTTCAATCCCCCAGCACCACATGCCAGCCAGCCCCGCCCCCTGGTGGGCTGAGCTGGACACACACACACACACATTAATAAATAAATAAATTAAAAAAAAAAAAAAAAGAAAGAAACAGATCAAGACTCTCAGCTATATAAGATGAGTACCAACCTCGACTCCACATGGCAGATAATGAGTAGTTTTTGGCACAAATCCGCCTGGCCATGGAAGGGTGCTTGAGAATGTGGGATTTACACAGCTGAATCAGGTTGTCCACAATGATTGGGCTTAGAGAAAAGACAAGACATTTGGGGCTTAAGCAACAGGTTGAATCCAAGACCCATCCATTAGAAATCCTACTTACTTAGGGAACACTTACCAGTAGGTCTCTCTCTTGGGGATGTCCTCCGTAGAGTGCCACAGACGGGCGTGAGAGATCATGTTCAGAACACGCTCATCTTGGTTCTCTATGTGGTTCTGTGGGTCGTCAACAAGGCTGAGAACTTTCTCAGGAAGGCCTTCTATTAATTTGGTCTTGGTAAGCCAGAGAGCCTGCTTCACTCCTTTAGTGTAATTAGCATAAAAAAAACAAGAGAAGCTGATTCAGAAAGATTGATGCTCATATTGGCCAGGTAGCACCATATAGAAAGTTGCTTCAAAAGAGGTCTGGATTTGTTCTCTGAGACCTATATGGACAGCACCAGAAGAGCTAAAAGCCAGGAAAATCCAATTTCAACTCAACTTCAAGAACAACCACCTACTTCAATATAGTGACCAGTTAGTCAACTGCAGTATTAAGCATTTGCCACATTCAAACAGGAGCTACGACAGCTGAGGTCATATAGCTGAATATTGCAGGAAGTAGACAGACTGGAAACTGGGACTACATGATGAATGTCAAAAATTTCTCCTATGAGGCCACACATAACAATGCCTGTAATTCCAGCACTGGGAAGGCTGATGCAGGAGGAACACTGTGAGTTTAAAGCCAGCATGGACTACATAGTGAGTTCTAGGCCCACCTGAACTATATAGTGAGACCCTGTTTAAAAAAACAAAGGAGAAGAGGAGGAGGAAAAAGAAGAGGAGAAGGAAAAAAAAGAAAGATTCCTCCTATGAAGCCATACTCCAACTCCAACTAAAAAAGCCCAACATAGTTGATTTATTAGACATGAATCTAGGAGTAGACCTACACTACCTTATTTAAAAAAGCAGTTTTTGGAATTAATGAGAATCACTTTTAGATCTTCATAAATAATTTAAGGATCCCAGAGTTTGGGACCATGTATACAAATAATTTTTTACATCTTATTTAATTAATCCTGATATTCTATAATGAACTATTTTATAAACAGATTTTTATATAAAATGGCACTATGTAACATACTGCTATATTTGTCAAAAGAATCATACTAAGGATGTTCTATTCCTTACACAGAGTGCTTTCTGAGACCATGTGAACTTCTCACTGGCCTTAGTACAGAAAAGCTAGGTTCTACCCTAAATGGTGGCATACACAAATTTAAGGTCAGCATTGGCTACACAGTGCATTTAGGACCAGCCTAAACTACATAGCAAGACCCTGTCAAAAAAAAAAAAAAAGGTCAGACATGGTGAATAAATAAAAACATAAACTGAGGTCAATAAACATTCTCTTTGGGTTGCCAAGATAGCTCAGGAGACTAAGCAACTGCTTTGGCAAGCACAGGGACCAGGGTTCCATCCCCACACACAGCCCCAGCCCTGCCCCTGAGGCAGGCTAAGTCTGTGACCCAGTCTGGGTGTGGTGGCACATGCCTGTAATTCCAGCACTGGGGAGGCTGAAAACAGAAGGCTCACTACAAGTCCAAGCTGCGTAGTGAGACCCTGTACCAAATACATAAATGAAAGAAAAAAAATTCTCCTAAATGGCCAGTTAATATGATTTGATTTCAGTAGTCTCTAGTATAACTACTCATCCTTGCAAATGTAGCCCCAAATCAGCCACATACAATAATTAACATGTGTATACAGTTGTCACCAAGAAAACTTTATTTGTAAAAACAGGGAGCTGGCTTAGCTACTGATCCCAGCTGTATATCATTTGTTGCTGGGCAAGCATTCTACCATTGAGCTAAATTCCCAAATCTTACCTATTTCTAATTTAATCTGCTTGTATTGTAAAATATTTTTAAATTCCCCAAAATACCTTTCAGGAGAAAGTGGTATATGTACTAAACTAGATTCAGTTTAGACTGACTCTTTAAAGAGCCTAGTTACTTTCAGTGGCATGGACTGTGGCGTCCAATCTGACTTCCCTGAAGGAAAAAGTGGCACAGCCCCAGAAACTACCTTCTGATAAGTGAATACACCAGTCTTCTACAGTCACATGAAAATTAGCACTACCTCCTTTCTTTTTCCAGATTATGCCTGCAAGTTCACAGAGGGTCTATGACTGCTTTGGTTGGTAGCTTACCATCTATCCCAGCTGGAGAAACACTACTGTGACTCTGGGATACAAAAAGCTATCTCTGGAGATAAAGGGAGTCATCCTAGGAAACACCTCAGGCAATTTCTCTCATGGTAATAAATGAACAAGCAAGAAGGACGCAAGACTGTTCACTTTAAGGCTCACAGGACATCACACTATAAATACAAATGTGTAGAGATGTTTACATTTGGTGGTACAGCAGAAAGAACTCTGGACTGGGAGTCAGGTAAACTATGCTTTAGTGCTGACATTGCCACTGTTCCTTAAACTTAAAAATGGATAAAACATTAAGATTTTGTGCTTCACTGGTACAATACATACTATATAATAATCAGAGTTGCCATTTATTGAATGTCACCTTCTAGCCTATGCCAGCAGCTTTATCTACAATTTAGGATAGGGACTTATGAAATGAAGGAGAAAATGCAGACCCAGGAATTTTTGGTTCCCATCCCATACCTTGAAAGTGACAGCACTGGAGGGGTAACCTGAGTCTTTACCCTAAAATCCATAATCTCTTCACTGTCCCAATAGGCTTCTCCAGCGCTCTATCTTGCAGTTTCATTACACTTTATAAAACCTCTCCATGAATGGTGAAAGCGTAGGATACAGGATATGTTTTCAGCCCAGCCAAATGAATGTAATCTTAACTTCTAAATACTGCTACCGTTTTCATCTACTTGGTATTCTGTTGTAGGAGTCACTCAAGGGTGCCAAGTCTTAGGAGTTCCTTCACTGCACCCTGTGAGGACCTTACAAGTGTTTAACAGCTGGAAAACCAGCTGGCAAGAACCAGATTGTGCAGCTTAACAGACTGGCCAATTGACTGCAGTTTCTGCAAATTTAAGATTACTCTTACTCCCCAGCTCCCGCCAGATCTGTTCCCTAATTACCCCGTGGGTACTCCTACTTACCTCAACCTTTTTGTTTTCAAGATATGTCCTATTCTCATCCTGATTTGGTGGGATGATTGCAGGATGTGGAAAGGAATTATCAATAAACACCCCCTCCCACCTACCTAGGCTCTCACGCATCCTGGAAAATAATTTCTGATAATGCTCAAGAAAGACAGGCTGATTTGGGCTTAATTATTTCAGTATGTTCTTAAGGGACTGACAGAGGATCAGAAGCGGGGTGAAAGCAAAGGCCCAGACCCTTTCCTCGAAAACATCTCAGGTCTGGCCTTTGAAAGAGAGGAATAGGGTCTGGGAGATAGCTCAGTAGAATAAGTGCTCAAGCACAAAGTCCTGAGTTCAATCCCTAGTACCGAGGGGGGGGGGGGCAATAACCTAGAATATCCGAGTTGTAGACCTGCTTCAATATTAACCTACAGTGGGCCTGTAAGAAAATCACTTCCTTTTTCTTACAGTCAGCGATCCTCTGAAATTAGGGAATAGGCCTGGAAATTAAAGCCCTTTTCTGCTGTCTCCTTTCACAACTATTTTCCTTCCGATTTCTTAAGTGTAAGGCTATTCTCCAGGATGATGACTTCTAGCCAACCACCCTTCACAGTCATTGAGTCTCGGGAAAGTGAGAACTTGCTCAAAGTTACCCTGAGAGCTACAACTCGCGCTAGACCTGGAGACGGGGTCTTTTCACTTTGAAAACTCTATTACTCCTTAAATGAGAGCGCGGCCCTCTACACTCTAGATAACTCTAGAATCCAAGACCCACAGAGTTTCGTTATCCTGCCTAAGGACACGGAGGGAGGGCGGGGGTCAGCGCCGGGCAGAGGAACAAGGTCCTCTCCCTCACATCCTGGGGCCTCACCCTCGAGGAGACGGCAACGCCGGTGGAAGATGTAGCAAGGCTGTTCCTTGTACAGCGGCTGCTCGTGGATCGGAGGAGAGCGGTGAAACCTTGGGTGCTTCCAACCGCGGTCCCAATTCGGAAACACCGGCCGCGCCAGCCCGGGCATGAAGTGCATCTTCCCAGCGTAGGTGATCGGCTCCAGTCCGGGGATCTCATACACCCTGTCTAGCGGGAGAGGCTCAGGTTTCCTCGTAGAGCGCACGCCCCATTCGTACGCCCCGCGTCTCGGGATCCCGGAGTCCCCAAAGCCGAGCCATCCAGAGCCAAGAAAGGCCCGTTTTGCTGGCGCAGACGCCAACGCCATTCGGATCAGGTTTCCACAAGACAGCTACCTGGACGCCGCCATCATCTACCCCCCGCAGGGCCTGCCGGGAACGAAAGGGGCTGGGCGCTGAGGCTCGTCTGACGAATGGCAGACACTTCAACCAATCACAGTCAAGATGTCCTTGCCTTGTCTCCACCCCCAAGCCGTTCGACTTTCGTTATAGGTGAGGTCCGCTGTACGCGCTCACCTTTCCGGGGGCTGGGTACGGAAGGAGCTCTGGAGGATTCCTCGAAGGAAAGAATTTGTGGAGTTTAGGTGAGTGGTCGCTGCAGGGCCGCGGGCGGGAGAAGAGCGCCAGACTCCACCGCTAATCTCAGAATGCTTCACGGCTTGCAAGGCATTAAACTTGAGCAAGACCCCAGTGCCCCTTACTGTGAAAATAAAGTAGTACAGTGCCTATGCTGACGCCCCGTGCAGCGCCCAGCTCATATTGGGTGCTTGGGTAGTTTCCTCACCATCCGCTTAACCCTGTGTGGGTGTTTTTATGATAAATACAATGTGGATTAATACAACGTGTGACGTGTAGAGATTAGAGTTTAGTGGGAGACGTGGAGAGTACCCAGACAGACAACGATCACAGTACACACTTCCTGTCTCTTCTCTCTGGATACTTTTCTCTAGTTAACGCTGTCATACTATACGTTTTCCATTTTGATTTTGTTTAAAGACTCGCCGTGAGTGCAGACATTGAGCTTTCAGCCAAGGTCTGGAGACTGAGAGAGGCAGCCAGCCAGGCACAGTTGACATCTGTCAGAATGGGACTTGAAGATGACACCTGGTAAAAACTAAAACAGTGATGGAGAGAAAGCGTGGATCATGTCTTTCAAATTGGGCCATGCTAGTCATGCTGGCTCCCAGACCATATTTGTTTAGAAGTTTCTTTTTTGGTTGTTTTTTGTTCATTTGTTTTGCAGCATTGGAGATCAAACCAAAGTCCTCTCATGTGCTAGGCAAATGCTCTACCACTGACCAACATCAGTAGCCCTCAAAGACCGTATCTGTAGAGTGAATGAACACTCACCAGTAGCTGGGAGCTGTCCATATATGGGGCTGGGTTCAGCGGGGAAATACTGAGAAAGAATGAGATATTTTCCAAGTCTACATAAAGGTCCCAGCCTACTAAACTTTTCTGAAGTCATAGAGTTCCTGTGCAGTAGGACCAGGTTTTCTGAAGCCAAACACTTTTCTCTGCTTTGAAGATTTGTTTCATACAAAGGAAACCAGTGGTTATAAGTAGTATGCACACCCAATCAGACACTAGATTCCATGGTTGACCTATTCTTGTCCCAGGGTTTACACAGAGCCTAACACCTGCACACCTTGGGGAAAATGTGAGAAATAGAGGAGACAACAGCCTAACCCCTATGTTTTCCTTCTCATACACCAGCAAGGGATGAGGACCTGGGCCCAAGGCTTCACAGAGCCTGACCTGCCCTGGGAAGAGCACACAGTTGTCTCTCCCAGACTGCCCCAGACCCATTGACTATGGCCGAGAGAGAGGAAGATGCTGAGGAAGCCTGGCTGCAGCTGCGGCCTGTGGAGCCCTTGCCGTCCCAGTGCTGTGGCAGTGGCTGCTCACCCTGTGTGTTTGACCTCTACCACCGAGATCTGGCAAGGTGGGAGACAGCCCGTGCTAGTAATGACAGAAGCCTGCTGAGTGGGAAACAGTCACAGGTAAGGAGGCTGCATCTTAGACTAGAGGCTTTGAGGGCAGCACTTACCTGGCCTGGAAGCTTTCCCTGGACTCCAGAAAAAAGAAAGCCCATACTGGCAGCACACAGCCCCAGCATCAAAGTCCAGGCCTAAAACAGACTTATTTCTTAGTGATGTGATTGGAAGCAAAGTCTCTTAACCTCCCTGTGCCTAAATTTCTCCATCTGTAAAAGGGAGTTAAACATTTGTGGTGTATGACATAAGCCTGACATTTATGTCACTTAACAAATATCTACTGAGTAGCCATCATACATGAGGCCCTATGAGCTCTTGAAGAACTGAGACATGGTATTTGCCTCATGGAACAAATAAGCCAATAGTACATACTAGTTAACTAGAGTGCATTGTTATTTCTACCTCTTTGCTCCTTACTGAGTTTTTGTTTCCCTTTCTGAACTCCAAAGGACTTTATCACCTGGACCAGGTGATTTAAACCTTCATTGTAGTGTTTAAGAGGGTTCACAAATTACAGTTATATATATATCTGACACTAGAAAGTTCAGCTTCATATTCTATAGTTTGGGAAACTGAGGGCCCATTCCTCTGACACTGTGCACAGGTCTAGTTCTGCATCTGTTCCCATCCTGGTCTCCTGCCCTGAGTGGAGTTGCTATGGTCCTTGACCCTTCTGACCACAGTGGAGTACAGACATTTTCTATTACTGCCACTGTTAATGTATCCTGATCCCATTGTTACTTTTTAGCTGTCATAGTTTGGCCTGAACTGCACCAAAATGTAGTTATTCTTACATATATGATTCCTAAGCACATTAAATAGCATATTTAATCTAATATTTTTAATGAATAATTGAAAACAATTGTATTTTGATGGCATTTTACACTTTATAAAATGTTTTTCTATTACCTCATCCTACCCTTATGATAATTCCACCCATTTATCAGGAACGAGTACCCTTTTTCTGTAGATGAGGAAACTGAAACCCAGAAGATCAGGTGACCTGCATGAGTCTTCATGGGTGGCCAACAGCTCAGCTGGGGGTAACCTGGCACTCCTGACTCCCAGTGCAGTGCTCTTGGCAGCTGTGGCAGCTATGACAGAGAGTGCCCAGGTGCTCTGGCTGCTGATGAACAGCTCACCTCAGCCTGTGTGAGGAGTGTGGTGTGGGAACTGGCGTCATAGAGGCAGTTTCTCTTGGTTTTGTGACACTATTGACACTACTATGAGTAGTTGGGGTTTGTCTTCGTTACTTTTCTCATTGCTCAGACAAATACCCCATACCCAAAGTTAAAAGAGGAAAGGTCTATATCAGTTTGTAGAGGCTCCAGTCCATAGTCAGCTGGCTCCCAGGCTGGGTGGTATAGCAGAGGGGCATCACAGAGGAGAATCAGTCCACGGTGGGCAGAAGGCAGCAGTAGTGAAGCAGCAGTAGCAGCCAGGCTTGCCTTTATATTTCATCCAGGTATCCACCCTTTGGGAGATGCCACCTACACCCAGAGTAGGGCACCCCTCATCCCAGTATCACATACCCTAGAGCTATCCACCTCTGAAAAGCCCCATCCATGACTGCATGAGGCTTTGGGGGAACATCTGGCTACAGCTGTAACAGGGCTCCAGAGGCAACACCCCACCCTGGCCTGACAAGGGGAGTCCTGTGGGTGTGGACATTTTCTAGGAGAGCACCTAGTGAGCCATAGCATTCAGAGAAGGTCCACAGAGGAGGGGTGGGGAGGGGGCGGATCAGTAAGATCAGTGGGCTAAGACTCATAAATTTGGGTCCCTGCTTGCAGCGTGACTTTGGCCAAGTAAGGCTACTGCTCAGCCTCAGTTTCCTCATATGAAATAAAGGTATTAGATTTCATCATCTTGAAAGGCCCAACATTTTCCCAACAGTGCTGGTCTGGGGTTTAACACTTGGGCAGGGTGAGTGGGTCTTTCATACAGCAGAGGTGAGTGTCCTGGATGGAGAGCTCATCTTGAGCAGTGAAGGCCCAGAGGTAGAGACAGCAGGTGTCCTTGGAGATACCAGGCGTCACATGTATGAGAAACAAAATGAGGCTTGCAGCCCATCCACTGGGCCCTTGAGAGTAGGCTGAAAATCCTGTGCTTGATTCTGGGGCCGAGAGGAGCTGCAGAAGGCTTAGGAGCTGGGTAGAGTGAGGGAACAGTGCCCTGGCTTGGATCCCAGGGAGTAAGTTGGAGCTACAGTCTATTACACACAGAGATCTTACCAGCTGAGCCAGCCCTCATAGGACACTAGTGAGGGTGCATGTCCCCTTGAGCTCGGCCTCCCGCCAGGTCTTTTCCTTTGCAGAACTGCCCCTCCAAACTGAACCCAGAGAACTTCGTGGCCTTCCGCATCAGCGCTGTGAACAAACTCACTAATGACACCTACTGTGTCCGGTTTGCTCTGCCTGGGAACAGCCAGCTCAGCCTGCGGCCCGGGCAGCACCTTGTCCTACGGTATATGGGCAGTGGGCACTGAAGCTTCACTGCCCTGCTTTGCTGTCGAGTAGCTAAATGACCCAGGGCAACCTGCTTGGCCTCCCTTCAGGCTCCATTTTTCATCTTCAAAATAGAAATAGTTATGTGTGACTCGATGGGTTTGCGGGATGGAGCTAGCTGGTATATTTTCAAAACATTGAGCACTTTACTAGCATTTAACAGGCAAGGCACAGTTCTGTGCACCTCTATCCATGATTGTGTGAGCCTCACAAGGCTCTAGGAGCTAAGGGCCATTGTCTTATCATCCATCAGTGGAAACTGAACTCAGAGGAGTTCGGGAGCCTGCCCACGGTTATACAGTTAGGAAATGGTAGAGCCAGAATTTGAAGATGAGCACTTTGGCTCTCTAGAGCCTGTGGTTTTAACCTAATCCAGTTAGCACCCATTGATAGAAAGAATGCTGTCACTGAGAACAACCAACTTGGCCAAAATCATATTCTTAATAAGTCATGGAGCCAGGTTTCAAACCCAGACAGCCTGGCTCCTGCCATGTCTCTGAGGTTCCTCCTGGCCTGTTTCTGTACTCTGCTTCTCTCCTGATCCCACCCCGCCCCCTTCTCAGGGATGGAGCCTTTGGGATGTCTGGGTACAGCACCTGCCGGGCAGGTGGGTCTGAGGCTTTGGGAGTGGTCAGCACAGAGCTAGTGGCATTTGGGAGCACATGTGTGTGAAAAGAGGAAACCCTGACATTTGTAGGATTGGCAGGAGGAGCCACCAGTGAAGGAGATGGCAAGAATGGCCAGAAACATGAGGGGACCCAGAAGAGAGTGGCTTTTTGCCTCACAGTAGCCCCTGACGCTCATTTCCAGCTCCTGACCTGTGTCATGGCTGTCCTTGGATTTCACTGTTTCAGGGGGTAGGGGGAGCTACAGAGTGGGTCCCTGCCTGTGGAACACTCCAGCCATGAACTAGGGATGGCCAGAACCCCTGCTTCTAGATGAGGTCCTGTCTTCCATCCTCTCTGCCACATTGGTGATATTCGTAACATGCACATATCTGAGCATCTAACTCCTCATTCCCCTGCCTTCTAGAACACAGTGTTTCTATTGGGACTCCCTCCCCTCTGCCCCTCATCTCAGCCTCATGGTTTGCTCCCCAGGTCCCGACTTACCCGCAGTAGTTCACTATTAAACTTTGGCAAACCATTCCCTCTCCCAGAAATCACTGCCCTTCCTGTCCCCACTTGCATGTATCAGCACCTGATCCTACCATATGCAACTCCAGGAGGTCCCTGAGGTTTTATAGGTGACCACTTCCTCTGAAACCTGTCAGTTTACCTTCTGTGGCAGCCAGTGTCAGTGCTCTTTGCATCTAAGCCATGTCCTCTGTTCTGTTCCTCGTTTCCTTATTTGTTTCATGAGAATTTACTAAGGTTCTCTGCCCAGCCGCCCTGCTGCTGGTGCACTGGGATGAGGCCTGCTTGCTCTCTGCATGCCTGAATGATGTGTGTTTTCCTGCCTAGGACTTGAGAGTGGAGAACTTGCATGCTTCCAGAGCCCAGCTCAGTCAGTAGGAAATTCTAACTAAATATATATATATATATAAAATTTTTGTTTGTTTGTTTAAGGGAAGGGTCTACAGGGTGTTCATGGGGTCTCACTACTAGATTGGACTCATAGTGATCTGCCCATTTACAGCGTCCCAAGAGCTGGGATTACAGGCACAACGCACCCTGGGGGCAGGGCCAGCACGGCAGGCCCAGGGATCGAACCCCGGCCCTGCATCTAGTAACTTTTCTAATGTCTGTCACCAGATTCTGCATTTGCACTGTCATTTGAATAAAATTAGATAACACAAACAGTATGCTTGATGTGTAGTGGGCCCTTGATGTGCACAGCTGTTACTGTTACTCGTCCTGACCCACCTCACTTGACACTGTGGAGAGGACTTGTACAGGGGATAGGGCTTTGGACAAGGGCCACTTTAGGGTCCTCCAGGTCTGCTTCTCCTGAATGTGGCAGTAAGTGTGGCATAAATCTTTACCACTCTATAGTTGAGGTCAGGAAAAACCCCAAGATACTTCACATTGTCAATTCACCTCCTGGTTTATTCCTTTGTTGGGTTGCTTTTGTTTTTTTCTTCTTCTGTGTCAAGGCTGCACATACTACATAAGTCTTCTTCCACTGAGCTGGACCCTCAGCCCATTGTACATTTGGCAGCACTTCCTCCTGTGATTCCCAGTGGGGCCACACAATCAGGACATAGAGAGCTGTTTCCATTTTGCAGTGGGTGCTGCTGAGACAGTAAAGGACCTGTCTGGGTCTCCTAAGCTATGTGTGGCAGTGCTGAGTGCTCTTCTGCAGCACCTCACCAGCCCCTCAGTGAGGTCCTTTAGGGTTGACTGGACTTCATGTTTACTTTTATCAGCCTGACAGGAAGTGCTGAATGAGGGTTTGTCGAGTGACTAGCTGACAGTATGTTTCTCTTTCCTAGAGGGATAGTGGAAGACTTAGAAATCCAGAGAGCCTATACTCCCATCAGCCCTGCCAATGCAGAAGGATACTTTGAAGTTCTAATTAAGGTGAGTTGGCACTTGTGGGGATACTGTGTGATGCAGTGCCCAATGCCGCCCTTGCCAGCTCTTTTGGGATGGAGCAATTTCCAGCCTGGGGTTTTTGAGGGAGGAAGCTGGCCTGAAGGAGCAGTGGGGCCAGGTGAAGGATAGGGGGCACTACCTTACCAGGGCGCCTATTACTTACTGCACAGTGAGCTCCAGGCCAGGTATGGGAGGAGGCCAAGCTCCTGCACCTTCTGTGTGCTGAGTGCCAGAGGCCAGAGGCAAGTCAGACCCTGTGCCTACCCTGCAGGAACCTACCCAGGACAGTGACCACAATACAGCATGACAGGAGGCCACGCCCAGCTTGGGGCTGCAGGGAATGGGAGGAAGGCAGGCCAGGCCTCCCGGCCACAGCTGTGAGTGCAAGGGGCAGAGAAGACCGAGAATGTGGGGAGGAAGCTCAGTGGGCTGAGGCCAGCATAGACCGTAGCTAGCGAGGCTCATTTGGGGAAATCGGTGCATCTCCCCAGAGCAGAAGGGAAGCGAGCACTCGGAGAAAATGGGACACCAGTGGAGCATCAGGGCCTCATGGAGTGAGAGGTGGCCAGGGCTGCTGGAGGCTGGCCTTGAAGTACTGATTGGTGGGGCAGGAGACGGCATTGCAGGCTGAAGGGACAGATACAGGGAGGGGTAATACAGAACAGGTCTGGGAATTGTACCTTATCCAGGTGACAGGAGGAGAGGCTGGCTATAAGGCAGCAGCCGAGATGAGATGAGCAAAGTGGATTGAGTACAAAATGCCTGTGAGAGCCGAGGACAAGGCAGCACATGCCTGAGGAGTCACGGAGGTCCCTGATTTGGAGACCGTAACTAGGTCGGCTGCTACTGAACTGCTGATGCTCCAACATTTCTTACTTGCAGAAATAGCAGTTTGATGTGGGTCAACCTAGGGCATAGCTCTAGACCATTGTTTCCCAGGGGAGTCTCTGGCAACAGGAGGACTGGAAGAGAGCTCTCCTCCCACCCTCCCCTGTGAGACCTGCATTGTCATGTGTTGTCATGCCGTTTCACTGACCACAAGCTGAGACCCCAGAGGACCAAGGTCCACAGCTCCAAAGAAGTGCTGCGGTGGGCAGGCCCTGGCCCCTGACTCCAGACTCCCATGCTGTGCCGGGCTCTGCCTTCCCTCCTGCCTGCCAGCAGCATGAGTGTTTATTCCCTCACACATAAGCCTGGATGGGATCCCTTCTGCACACTGATGTTTGTCTGGGAGATTCCGCAAATCCTCTCCAAATGGCCCGCTTCCCCCGCGCTGCTTGTCGGGGTGTGTTTCTGTCGAGGATAAGCCTGGAGACAGTTCTCTGGAGCAGCTGGATCCCTCCCAGCTGCAAGGCTGGTTTTCTCCTTCGTTTGCGGGAAGCCCTCATTATCCCTAAGCTGCTGCCTGGGAAGAGCTGAAAATGCCTTTGCAAATTGGGAAAGCTGCAGGGTGTGTGGGTTTACCTTCCCAAATAGAAAGGAGAGAGTGCTGCCGCTTCCTAGGGACCTGCTGGCCCCTGATCACTGCTTCTGGCTCTTCGTTCTCACTGTTTTGTCGACCTCATAACCTCAAATAGATCATATTATCCCCATTTTACAGATGAAGAAACGGAATCTTGAAGGGCCCTTGGACCATATGGTCACAGGTGAAAGGACAGACATTACCGAGCTAGTCAGTTGTAGTTTACTAGTGTGTGTTGAGCATTTGCTCCAGCCAGGCTCTGTGTGACTGTTGGAGAACAAAGAATTCTCCCCTTCTTCGTGGTGGTGTCTGTGCTGTAGAACCTTGTGGCCCTGGCTGGCTGTGCCTCCTCTGGTCTGGGGTCAGAACTCAGAATGCTCAGAGGCACACAGCCTCCAGCAAGGCAGGAGCAAAGCTGAGTCCTCAGCTGATATGGTACAGCCCAGTGGTAGTGCATTTACCTGACATTCTCCCCAGCAACACACAGACACACACACACACACGCACGTGCACACACACACACACACACACGGTGCTATGGAAGTCAGGGATGGTATCAGGTGGCTGTGTGTGCTCAAAAGCAGTTCTGGAGACCAAAACCTATGCTTTATTTAGTATCTATTACTCTTTTTTAGGACAGGGTCTCACTATGCAGTTGAGGCTAGCTTTGAACTCACTTTGTAGCCCAGGCTGGCCTCGAACTTCTGTTGATCCTCCTGCCTCAGCCTCCCAAGTGCAGGGATTACAGGTGTACTGTACCATGCCTAGCCTAAGTCTATTCTTTCCTTTAGCCTGCATTCCATAAACCCTGTCTTCAGTGCTTCCCCCTTCTCCAGCCTGCTGTGGCCACCCGCTTCTCCCAGGTGGGCCTATCCTAACCCTAAGCATGCCAACCTGATGCTCAGTGTCCTCAGTGCTCAGCTCCTATGCCCCAGCTCGGAATGCCATCTTGCCCATCCTTCACAGTCCAGCTCACACCTCTGGGACTGCACCTTCCTCCAGGCTCTTCCCACATTTTGTCCTGCCCAAGGTGCTGGGTGGTGTCTCCTTTGTGTGTATCTGAGACATAACAGGACCTGGATCTGGGTTAATTGGCTCATTTGTCCATTCATTCAGGCATTCAGTCCTTTCCAGGTTTCAGACAACGGCTTCCTTCATGGAGCTGTTTCCCCCACAGTCCTAGCAGAGTACCAGGCACAGAACAGGCAGGCACCTAGGTGGTGTCATCTGCTCACACCCACAGAGAAACCCCTTCCACACCCTTATTCAGCCAGTAGATTGGTCAGGCTGTACCTAGCACACAAATACAGTACTTGTTTTTCACCTGCACAGTGGCTTTAGTGTGTGTGTGTGTGTGTGTGTGTGTGTGTGTGTGTGTGTGTTAGTGTCTACAGGGTCTCACTACATAGATCAGACTTGCACAAGCTGGGATTACAGGTGTGCATCACCATGCCCAGTCTCAATCACCCTCAGCACGCCCAAGGGCCAGGGTCAGCATGGCATGCCAGAGGTCCAGCCCTGGCTGCTGTATCTGCCTAAGCAGGCGCTTCAATCCTCTGAGCTATTTGGCCAGCCCTTAATTTTTTTTAATTAAAAAAAATTGTGATTAATTCCTGACACTTAAAAATGAGAGATTTTAGCCTGGGGTGGTGGTACATGCCTATAATCCCAGCACTTGGGAAACTGAGGCAGAAAAATGACCATGACTTCAAGGCCAGCCTGGACTACAGAGTGAATTCAAAGCCAGCCTGAATTGTACCTCATGACCCTATCTCAAAAAGAGCCTAAGTGGGGGTGGGGTTTGCAAGTAAAAATACAGACTTCCTGCTCCTCCTAGAAAATTAGAAAGGTGGGGCTGGGGAGATGGCTCAGTGGAATAAGCGCTTCCCTGGCAAGCACAAGGTCCTGAGTTCAATCCCCAGTTCCAAAAAAGAAAAAAGAAGAAAATTAAAAGGTTTGGTAGCATCACCCTCCCAAGGAAGGACTGGACCCTGCAGAGTGGCTCCCCCTCAGGAGAGCATTCCCTCATCGGTGTATCACTTCCCGCCCTCCCTGAGCCCAAGTGTGTTACCTCTGGTCATCACCTGCAGGCCTTTGGGCTCCAGAGCTCTGTTGAAGGCCTCAGTCTTATGGGTTTGCCACCCAGCCTGGCCATGTACCATGTGAGTAAGCTTCTAGGCTGAAATTTAAGAGGACAGTACCAACATGCAAGATCAGAGGACCAGCATGCAGGATCACACATGTAAACCCTCAGCAGGCAGGAAGAGCTCACTCCATGCATGGCCGGGGAGGGGGGGTAGTGCGTGCCTGTCCCACTGAGCTCCCACTCCCTTTGCCTCCAGTGCTACCAGATGGGGCTGATGTCCCAGTATATCAAGTCCTGGAGAGCTGGAGACACAGCTTTCTGGCGAGGACCTTTCGGAGACTTCTTCTATAAACCAAACCAGGTGAGTGCCAGCTCCCTAAATGCTGAGGAGGTCCCTAGCTTTTCTGCAGGGCTGTGATTGACATGTTCCAGAACATAGAATCTCACTGCCAGTCTTGAGGGTAAAGTCAGTCCCAAGAGGATCCTTGAGATTGGACATAGGAGAAGACAGAATAGGCACTAAAAAACTGCCTGCCACGTTTCAGGACTATTCATGGCTGCCCATTGCTTGGGAAACCAGACTTGTGCACTTGGTGTTTGGGACCCTAATACCTGTGGTGCTCAGATACTGCTTCAGTTGTACATTCTACCCACGACACTCAGTGCAGCCCCTGGCTCCCTTCAGAAGAGCCCACTGCTCCCAGCTCAGAAGGCTGTTGTCCTCATCTTCCTGGCATGGACAAATCCTTCCAGTAACTTTCTGAGAAAGGATTTCTCATCCGTTGGTGCATATCTAATGGAAAGCAGTTTGGCAGTATGTACCAAGAGTCCTAAGAGTCTTTAAATCCTTTGCCCCAGTAATTCATTTCTAGAAGTCTGTCTACAGAAAGAATCCAAAATCCCAACTCTTTTGCATGCCATGGCATCTGTACTTAAAGCGGCAAATACAGGAGACAACTGAATATCCAACAACAGGGGGAAGAGGGAGTCAGGGTTACAGGTACCTGACAGGATGCTATCCTGGATTTTAAAACTATAAATTCTTTTCTATGCTTACCTAGGCTACACAACCAAGTGGCAAGTACCACATACAAAACTAAATATACAACAGGTTTGTAAACTAATTGCAAAAAAACCCATAAGAGGGTAATGCATCGAAATGTCAGCAGCTCTAGGTGGCAGGTGGTAGAATTCTGGGAGATTTTTATTTTCTTTGTACTTTGTACTTTCCAAGTTACCTGCAGGGAGCACCTCTTACCTTTATAATTAGGAAAACAAAGCAAAATGAAAAACAGTGGATCAGGCTTGCCTCTCCATTCTTTTTGTTTAATTTTAAAACAGCGTTTATTGATTTCTTTCCTGATTATGAATGCAGGACATGTTTATTACCCATCCCCCAGTCTGATAGAGACAAAAAGGAGAAAACGCCTGCAGGCCCTCTCCCCAGACGTGGCAGTCTTACTACCGTGGCGTGCATCCTTCTAAATCCTCTACTGTGTATGAGTATTTATGCAAACTCTCTTTCTCACACGCACGCACGCACGCACGCACACACACACACACACACACACATGTGTTGTCTGTATAATAAAATTGTCAGGCCTGGGGTGTGGCTTGGTGGCCCTGGGTACAACCCCAGCACTGTAAGTACCAAGAATGTCAGGTCCACAAGTGGCCCCTGCTGCGTGTGGGTTCCAGCCCTCATGCCTGCCATGGGGCAGCTCGCTTGGTTCTCATAAGCATGCTCAGCTGCTTCTCCCCACTTTACACAGCACGCAGTACATGTGTGTTTGTGTTCTGCAGTATTCTAGTACTGTGCTCAGCCCCGCTATTCTGTTGTTTTGAGATTTTTTAGTTTTTTTAAATAATAAAAAATAACTTAAAAATTAGAAATGATACAGAATTCCACTAAAGATGATAAGAGCTCAACAATGTTTATTATATTGTATATATTGTATATTGTTGTCTTAGTTGTTCAGATTACCAGATATAAGCATGCAAAATTGGTCAAAAGAATTAAAAAGAAAAAAATGTAAGCATTAACTGTTCCTTTCAATAGAGTGGTAGAAATCAGAAGTACAGTTGTTCTTGCTATCCTGTGTGTACATATATATATATATATATATATATATATATATATATATATTTTTCCCCCTTTCTTTTTTCTTTTCTCCCTTCCCTCATCCCAGTTGTACCTTCCCGTTGAGCAGTTTCCTTTCCACAGTATTGTACCCTTTAGATTGTATTTACTTTCAGGTTCTTACACTAGGACATGATACGATATTTACACATGTGGCCCTGGTTTATTTCACTTATGAGTATGGTTTCTGGTTGCATCCATTTGCCTATAAAAGCCTCGAGTTTATCTTTTAATAGTAATACTCCATTGCATAAACCACCCTTTTCTTTCTTTTCTCTCTCTCTCTCTCTCTCTCTCTCTCTCTCTCTCTCTCTTTTTTTTTTTGTCTTTTTGAAACAGGGTCTCACTATGCAATTCAGATTGGCCTTGAACTCACTTTGTAGCTCAGGCTGGCCTCAGACTCACCTCAGTCCTCCTGATTCAGCCTCATGGGATTATAAGCCTGTGCCACCACACCCAGCCACTACCACATCTTTTTTTAATTCATTCCTCAGTTGATGGGTATTTGGGTTGTTGCCAAGATTTAGATATGACAAATATTGTGTGCTGTAAAAATGTTTTTTGTTTATTTGTTTTTTGTTTTTGAAACAAGGTCTCCCTATTTAGTTCAGGCTGGCCTTGAACTATGTACTCCTTTCTGGCCTCAAATTTGGGGCCATCTTCTTGCCTCAGTCTCCCAAGCCAAGAGTATGGCTCAGCCTTGCATTTTTTTTAAAAAAAAATGTTATTTATTTATGTGTGTGTGTGTGTGTGTGTGTGTGTGGCCAGCTCAGCCCACCAGGGGGTGGTGCTCGCTGGCATGTGGTGCTGGGGGATTGAATCGCGGTCCCTCTGCTTTGCTAAGCTTGTTCTAAGTAGGTGCTTTAGACCACTGAGCCATCTCACCAGCCCCTCGTGCCTGCCGTGGGGCGGCTCGCTTGGTTCTCATAAGCGTGCTCAGCTGCTTATGTGTGAAGAGCTTTACATGTAGTTAACTGAGTACCCCTCTGTGTCCCCAGGGCTTTTAGGGCAGGGCGTGGGAATTGTTCCTGTCTCCTCCTGGCCAAGAGCAAAAGCTGAATGAAAGTCATCTTGGCCACCTTTTCTGAAGGGAGCCTCCTGATGCCTTGTGGTTGTTGCTTTGCATCTAGAAAACACACTAAAGCCCCAAATTCTCATTTAGAAAATTTCATAGAGTCCAGAGGGAAGGGGGCAGAGATGGTCTACTGATGCTTTGTCCAGAGCTTGGCTGTGTTCCCACGAGGACACCCGGATGCTCCTGCCCTTTGCTGACCCTGCTTGCTCCTCTGCAGCTGCCTCTGTTATCAACAGCTGGCTCGAGGGTGGCACGCAGGCATCTAAGTGTTCATGACCAGGGATGAGCCAGATGAGGATCCAGACACCTGACAGGGAAGAGAGGCATGCGGACACACACTGCAGGGTGCCGTGCTGCGCCAGGGGAGGTGCAGGCAGCTGGGGGCGCAGCAGGAAGACCCTCTCTGCCCCTGACTCAGCAAGGCTTCCCACGCCTGGAGGGATGAAAGGAAGAACTCGGAGGCAGGCAGGAGCCCTGAGGCTAGAGGAAGCGCTAGCACAGGACAGCAGCCGGAGGCAGTCTCTGGCTTAGTCTCCACGCCAGACTTGTCATTGCATACAATCATCATGCCAGTTCTGAACAGGTGCTCTTACAGGGAGGTCTTAGTATTACTTTCTCTTCTTTTTTAATCAATGAAGAATCAGGTTCTGATTGGGGAAAGAACTTGCCAATGTCATAAAGTTGGGGATTCTATATACAAAGGCCTAATCTTTAGAATGGGAGAGAATACCTGTCTGAATGGGTCAGGTAGCCTTTAAGACACTGACCTAAAACGTCTTACTCCTTAGGAGGCCCAGAGCCAGGCAGTGGCTTCAGGGGAAAGGAGGTGATGGTGCTGGCCCTCACTTCTGTTGCATGGCTCTTTGGGCATTTGTGTGTATTATCTCATTTCTTCTAGAAGAGAGCAGGCTCAGAAGGTCCAAGGTGTGGCCTGAAGTCTCTCCAGGTGTGGAGGAAGCAGCTTGGAGAGCAGTGATGGAATGGAGCTGAGGGTGGCAAGGCTTTCATGGGAGCAGATTTCTGCTCTGGGGTGGGAATACCCAGCAAGGGCAGTCAGCCCACCATGCAGCGAGCTGTCTTGGGAAGTGGTGAGTTCCACAGCAGCAGGAGGTATATGTGAGGATGGCTGGGCTCCCTTTTAGCCTCAGGGCTCCACAATCTATCCACAGACCCCGTTGCCCTCCAAAAGCCTGATGGCTTCTTGGGAGAGGTGAAGGGACCTGACTGGGTGGGACAACCTTTCAGGAAGGCAGCATTGTCCATTCAAGAAAACCCAGAAAGAACAGCAAAGTGTGAGGGAGACCCCACCATACCTGCTATTCTCCTCCCCAGTATGGTGAGCTCCTCATGCTGGCTGCAGGCACGGGCCTGGCCCCCATGGTGCCCATCCTACAAAGTATCACAGACAACGCAGATGATGAGACCTTTGTCACCCTTGTCTGCTGCTTCAAGACCTTTGACAGCATCTACCTGAAAACATTTCTGCAGGAGCAGGCCCGTTTCTGGAACGTCCGCATCTTCTTCGTGCTTAGCCAGGTAAGGCCAGAGCGGCACTTTCCTTCCCTGAGCACCTGCACCCATCACGAGGACGAGTTGTGCCCACTGTGCCCAGGCCATAGTCCTCCCTGCCCCGTGGAATGCCCGCCATGTACCTAGCTAAAGGCAGGGTTACGACAGAGCTCAGAGGAAGGGCCAGGCATGTTGTGCCTGCCTGTCAACTTACGTGAGCCAGGTTTGGCCCAGGGCTGCTCCTTTCTGTGCTCTAGCTCCTCCCCAGAATCCTGTGCATCCTTCCTCACCCTCTGTCTTTACCAGTCATTGGGAGCCTGGGGCCTGCCTGTGGAATCAAGACAGGTCACTACGAGGTGAAGTCCCTTGAGGCTAAGACCATATGTCCCTGTCAGCACTCTCCTCAGTGCTTGGCATGGTATCAGGCAGAAGAGGGACTGTCTTTGAGTGACTGATGGAGAAAACTGCATCCAGGTGGCTTCATGTAGTTGGGTTCTTGTCACCTCACTTTGTCTCTCCATGGCAGGACAGCTGCTGTCAGACTCACCAGGTTCTGGGGAACCCTGCAGGTTCCCTAGCTGGAAGTTGATCTACCTCCTGCCTGGTTTCCTGTCCCCACCATTCACCCCAGGGATCCCTCCTGGACCCTCCCTGCCTGGGCCATGGCACAGGGACTCTAGGAATCTTGACTCAAACCCAGCCCCTCTCTGTTCACATGGTCTGTAGCTCCACTTCTCCCTACACTCCTTGGGTTGTGGGGCTGGGCCCCTAGCTTGAAATAATCCCTGACAACTGTCAGGATTCTCACCATTGTGGCCGGGGAGCTGGGTTTTTCTCCCCAGTGCCAGAGTTCCTGGTCCTTAGGAGACAGTGTCTGCATGACCATCAAGAGAGGCATGCTGGGTGACCAGAGCAGCAGCAGGAGGTGCCCAGGGCATGGCTGTGAGGCCAGGCTGCCTGGTACCTGACGAGTGGGCTGTGAGAAGCCTCCAACTAGCCACCCCAGCTGCTGGCCAGCACCTTTTCCTCAGCTGTCCCCAAGCACAAGCCACCTTCCAGGGACACAAATGTGAATATAACGTGCTCCCAGCCCTCTGGGGACTCACCTCTATTAGGGCACATGCCACCAGGCAGTTGAACAAGGGCTTCCCTGCAGGAGAACTCTGAGCCTTGTGCCATTTAACACGCTGTATGTGTGTTAGCTCATTCAAACCCACTGGTTTCATGAGGCTTGTACTGTCATGCCCCTTTTCCAGATTTGGAAACTGAAACACAGAATGGTTAAGAACCTTGGTCAAAGTAATGCAGCTTTGGGTGGAAAAGCTGAGTTTGAACCTAGGTGGTCCACCCAGATGTCATGCTTGTCAGTACAGACAGCACAGAGTACTAGCGGATGTCCAGGACCCTGATGGCCAGAAGGGAGAGGCTCACGGTCCAGGTGGCATTTTTACCTGTCACTGAGACATGCACTAGAGTTCATGTTCAGCCTCGGGTGGCGGCTGTGCTGCTGCCAAAGGCCTGGGGTCATGCAGGTGGGTGTCAAGGCCAGGTAGATAAGGGGCAGTAACTGCAGTGGCTCCTACTCATCCCCTCTCTCTGGGCCCCAATGACAGAAGCCTCCGGGGGTCCCCTTTTCCAGCCCCACCCTGCTGCGCTCCCTAGCCACACTCTCGGCATGCTGTGACTTGTGTCACTCTGGAGGCACAGGTGTGCCGTGCTCATGCTGCCTCAGCCAGGGACTGTCCCCACTTCCTCTCCTGGCATCTGCCTGCTTCTCATCTCTGCTGAGGTCTAAGTCTATCCTGGAAGCTGTCCCAGAGTCCCCGGGCTGGTGCTAGCATTTCTGCTGCCCCAGCCCCAGCTCTGCTCCTCTGCAGCACCACCCACAGCGTGTGTACAAGGCCCCTCTCCACCTGAGCAGCAACCAGTTCTGGCCCATGCGGTTGTGGTGGGGTCAGGCCTCCTCAGACGGAGGGGGAGCAGAAAATAGAGAGGACCACCCATCAGCAGCAGAGGGTCCATGGTGTCAGAGCAGTCCTGAGATCAGAGGCCTCTTTAGTGGTACCTTCGATGTGGTTTACTGGACATGGCTTTCCACAGCATGTGCCATATCCCATCACTCAGTGAGATCCATCACTCAGCTGGGAAGTGGGTTAGTGCTGCTGCTCCAGTGCCCCTCCTTGCCTATGCCCTCGCCTGGGAGTGATTGCTGGCCTTCATAGGTCTGCAGAGTCACGTCCCACTCTGGCTGTTCTTATTTGTGAGCTCATTGCCTGGTTTCTTCTGTTAGTACAGGTTCTTCTAGCTGGGGGCGATGGAGCTCACCTCTAACTTAGCACTTGAGTTCAAGGCCAGCCTGAAATGTAGCAAAACCCTGTCTGAAAAACAAAACAGAACAACAAAAAAAGACTTCAAACTACACATTTAATGACTCATACTTTTTTTTAACGTATGTTAATGAAATGCTTACTGAAAAACAAATAGAGATTCCTTCACTTCCAGACCCCAAGAGAAAAGTCTAGAGGGACATAAAGAAGAGGAGCCTCCTTGCTGGGGCTTCCTGCATCCCTAGAGGGATGATCAGCTGCTTTCACAGGGGAAGAGCCCTACTGGTGGCCACTGCTCCTAGGACCTGTGCTCCAAGCAGTCCCAGTGAGGCCAGAGCCTTGTGTTTGGGCAGCCACCCGTGGGTCTCCATTGCTTAGCACTGTGCCTGGCACCAAATGAGTCTTCAGCAAACATCTGCCAGGTCAGTTCACTCAAACCTTAAAGCAGATGAAACAGAAGTGTGCCCCATGGTGATGGTGACAGCCTGCAAGGAATTCTGGGAAGCCTTCGGTGAAGGGGACTCCATCTGGTATAGGTGTAGCAGCTGCTGGGGAGCCACAAGAAGCAGCGAGACAAGCTCTGGGCAGCCCTGTGTGCCTGGGAAGGCCCTCCTCCTCCCTGTACCTCATCAGCCTTAGCTGTTGTGAGAGGTGAAAAGAAGCCTGGCCTGTGGCTGGGCTTGGGGAAGGTCGGCTTCCCACCCCATCCTCCGTGCCATAGTTTCTTTATTTGGCAGAGAAAAGCCAATCCAGTGTGGACCCTGAGGACCCCTCAGCAGGCACCTCTGCTCTTTCTTGTCTTCCCAGGAGAACTCGCTAGAACAGCTTCCCTGGAGTTACCGAGAGAAGACCCACTTTGGCCGCCTGGGCCTGGACTTGATGGAGGAGCTGGTCGCCTGTTGTCGGAGGAAGCCATTTGCATTGGTCTGCGGCTCACCTGAGTTTACCGAAGACATGGTCAAGTGCTTGCTGTGTGCTGGCCTGGCCAAGGACTCCTACTTCCTCTTTTAGCCCTAGCCTCCCCTCCAGAGCCCTGCATGATGAAGTGTCTGCCATAGAGACACAAGAAGGACCTCAAGCTAGAATCAGGAGCCCAAGCCTGGCCCACTGAAAACCTCCCAGCTGACCTTGGCAAGTGTCTTAGTTACTGTTCTCTCGTTGCTGGGACAAATACCCGACACTCAAAATGAAGGAAGGAAAGGTTTATTTAGCTCACAGTTACTGGAGGTTTCAGTCCATACTCATCTGGGTCCAAGGCAGAGCAGCACACAGCAGAAAGCAACCTTTCATGGCAGCGGCAAAGAGCAAGAGCACAGGGGAGGGGTAGCAGCAGCTCAAGCAGCTGGCTTCTCTTCCCACCTTACATTGTAATGCAAATTACCTGCCCCAGGGTAGGAGAAGTACTCACACTTATGGGTACTTCCCAGTATTTACCCACCTATGGGTAATCCCAGCAGTACTAAAACCCATAATCCCAGCCTTGAATCACACATAATCCCAGTGGATCATGAGTTAACACAAACTCTACAAGTCCTCACCTCATGACTGCATGAGGCTTTGGGGGGACAACTAGACACAAACCATAACAGCAAGTATGCTCACCTCTTGGAATTCCACAAGAACTGTGGAAGCCCTCACAGGAGAGCCTCCAGCCTGGGAGGTGGAGAGGACTTTTCTGAAGAAGCCAAGGCCCAGCTGAGCCCAGATGTGAGGGACAGGAGAGCATGTCTGGCCCCTGTCATCACAGGCACTCGGCTGCAGCTGTGACCTCAGGGCCAGCTCAGATCAGGTGTTCTTGAGTGTTTAAAGAACAACTCCAGGAAAACCAAAGCTCTTTGGAGAACGTTAACAGACAAGCCTTGAGTGCTATGAGCCTCACATGCTGAAGGCCTCACAGTCTGTGACCTGACTATGTTACCCTAGATTACCTCTGTGCTGGCCCCAGCCTGTCTCATGTGAATAGCTTGCACTCAGTCTCCCTTCCCTTTCTCAGGAGCCCAGCCTAGAGTCCTCTCCCAGCAAAAGAAGAAGCAGGGCTGGCAAACTCCTCGCCCTCCTCTGGTAGGCAGCTGGTTCAGCCGGCGCCTTCAGCTTGGTGCCCTGGTGACAGTTGCTATGGAGATCTAAAGATAGAGCAAGAGTCAGGAGACCTGGGTTCTTCTCCCCGCTCTGCCCACTGAGTGGCTGCTGATTAGGTCCACCTAGCCCTCCCCGCCTGTGCTGCATGGGCCGTGCCCTCTCCAGGGAGCCCTGTGCTCTGGGCAGTGTACTGCGGTTAATGAGTTCAGCTTGCTGCAGCCCGGCTTCCAGTGTGCTGTACTAGCACTAGTCAGCGCCGGACCTGGGATAGACAGCAGTGGGGGCGTAGAATCCGAGAACCATGGAACCTAAGAGGCTGTTCATACTCCCAGAAATGCAGTCCTCATAGCAAAGCTGAAATGAAAGTTGAGGATGCCAGAAAGCATCCAGCCTCACAGACTGTCCATATAATTGGGGAGACCAAGGCCCAACAAAGTTAAATGGCTTGCTGAGGTGAAGCTAGTGTTGGAGCACTGGCAGGTCTGCTTGCTTCAAGCTCTGCTCTTCTCACTGCTGGTTTTCAGACCGAGCTCCATGGGCAGTAGGGCCCTCAGCATTGAGGGCAGTGGAAGTGATGGCCAGGGGGATCTCCAGGCCCACTTCAGCCAAAGCAGCTCTGTTTTTATCCAGTGTATGTACTGGGGCTTGAAGTAGTTTCTATTTGTCAGATATAGTGTTCCTATCCTGCCCAAAAGTTACATCAGTTTGGGCACTAACCAGTCGTGCTAAGCGGCTGGCGTGGTAGGAAGGCCTCAAGCTGTTTTCTAGTTGTTCATTGTCAGCAAGGTGTGGGGGCTGCTGGCTGTGCGCTCTCCATGAATCATGTCCATGAATATAATAAAATTCGGGAAGACAAACCGCCAGGAAACTTCATTTGGTTTAACCCAGAGTTTCTCGAGCTGCTTCCTGTGGCTCACTCTTCTGCGGTCTCAGAGGCTCTTTGCAGCATGACAAGTAGGAAAGGCCTGAGAGTCAAAGCTCTGAGCAGGGACTGAGCTCCTCATCCTTCCTCTGTCCCTCCCTCCACCGATGTGTCACGCTCCCGGGTGCCTCTGATGAGCTGAATCTGTCAGACACCACGGGCACGTCAGCAGGTGAGGCACACACAGCCTTGACACAGCGAGCTCCAGCCAGGGAGGAGGCCCGTGCTACATGTGCGCTGTGAAGGAACACATGCTGGGAAGCTGGAGAGCAGGAGAGGCGGGTCAGGGCCACAGCATGGCCACTGGGAGTTGAGAAGTGTGAACGGGGTCTCCACGTAAGGGTTGGAGAGCCAGAGGCACTTCTTACATGTGCCTTTGTTCCACTTTTTGATATGTGATATTCAGACAGCAGACAAGGTCAGCCACGGTAGCCGCCATCCCCTTCTTGTCCTAGCATGGCTGACCCTCCCGTCTGCTCTCTTCTTGTAGGGTCTCTGGCTTCAGGTGCAATCCCTTATCCTGGGACATTGACAAGGACACTAGCATGTGTCCCTGGTCACCTGGACATTTGAGAGCTCCTGACTGGGTGCTAAGTGGAAGAGGAGTCGTTGAGCTGTGCAAGAACAGACTCACGGGGCTGAGCTCCCACCACCTGCTCCTCACGTCCCTCCCCCATGCAGGAGGTGTGCTCCTGAGGCAGTGGGTGCTGTGGGATGGGGGAGAAGGGAGGCTTTGGGCTGTCCCAAAGGCAGCAGGAGGTCAAAGTGTCTATAGATCTCTGACCAGATAGGTATCCATCTTTTCTGCAACAGTCCCAGCTTCTGATGAATGTTTCTACCGAAGAGCCTAGGGAACAGATCTCGGGAGCCAAAGCCATGACCACTCCATTCAGCCATCACCACATCCCCGTCGCTCTCATCATTCTCCCCAGTCATCTTTCCCTTCATGTCCTGCTCCACAGCGACCAGCCTGACCTTCCAACTACATGGATCCGAGGGGCCCGGCCCTACCCTTCCATGTTCTCTGTTGCCCTCAGAATGCCTCTCCAGGCCTGTTCTGTGCTGCCACCCCTGAATTCCCCCTTTTCAGTTCCAGGCTGGCTTCCTGGCCCCTTTCGTATGTGCTGCTCCCTCTGCCTGGCCGGTGCCCTGCTTTCTGGCACTACAGTCACCTCTCCACTCCTGGCTGGATGGGAGACAGGGACTCTGGTCTTCCGCTTCTCCACCTATCAGCCTGGAGCGCACAGCATGGTCTTTGCCAGGTCACTCACTGTGTCGCCCACTGCGTGCTCGGTTTGTCCTGCAGGTGAAAGTGCAAGGGAGAAACACACGTACTCAGAGAGCACTTCACAGGGAGCAGAGTGCCTGTCTCCTACATTGACGCACAGAGTCTTCACACATATTTCTGCTATTTTGGTTTTTCTGTCTTCTGGTTCTTAGTTTTTGTTTTTGAGACAGGGTCCAGGCTGGCCTCAAACTTAGAGCCTCAGCCTCCCAAGTGTTGGGCTTATAGGTGTGTGCCACCATCAGTGGCAATCTGTGGCATTTTGCTGTTCTGATTTGCAGATGAACAAACTAAACTTCTAAGACATGAAGCAATCCTTCAAGGTCATATAGAGGGATGTAAACTCTACCATGTTATAAGTGTTATAAGGCTCATACATAATACATGAGTGCTCCTGGAAATACATATAAAGATTTGTGTATTACTGTGCTATTTGAAATAGCAAAAACTAAAACCTATCTATATATCCATGAAAAAAAAAGTAACTTTTGTTTTTATGGTGCTGAGGATGGAAGCCAGGGCTTTTGCATGCTGGGCAGATGCTGTATCACTGAGCTATGCCTCGATACATAGGCTCAGTAAAAAGAATAGAGGGACAATTCCTTGTGTGTATGTGCATGCATGTGTGTGTCAGTGTATTCACACTCATGGCATGCTAGGGACTGACCCTGGAGCTTTATGCATGTGAAGCACACTTCACCACTGAGCTGTCCCTCCCTAGCCCCAGCAGCCGGGTACCCATCCAGGGGAGCACCAGCCAGCAGGTAAAAAGAATTCAGTGTATCTCCATGTGCTGACGTGGACCACGTGATATTCGTATCACAAAGTGCCTCATGAGCAGGCGTCGTGAGTACCTGTGTATGGAGGTTGTATAGCTCCAGAATAATTCTACCAAGAAGGAGATATGTCAGATGCCAGTAAGGATGACCCCACGAGGTGGGTAGAAGTTCTGGGCCTGGGAGAGGGCTTTTGGCTGTATCTGCACCTGTAGTTTATGATAAATATATTTGATTTGTTTTGTTTTGTTTTGGTGGAACCAGGGATTGAACTCAGGCCCTTGGGCTTGCCAGGGAAGCGCTTATTCCACTGAGCCATCTCCCTGGCCCCTCAATAAATATATTTGAAATGAACATTGCACAAACTGGAATGCAGGCATATCTGGGCAGTGGATTCCCTGCTGTTGGTTATATTTTTTCCTACGTTTAATACAGTTATAAAATTAAGAGTAGAAATAAATGATCCAATGTGGTGGTGAAGACTCTTCAGAAACTAGGGATCAGACAACCTCGCTTCCTCTCCCTGCCTCACAACAGGCTATGCCCTCTGTGCCTCTGTGGTCTTCCATCAGTCATTTGGGGCTTCTGGGCACCTGCTGTGTGCAAGGCCATTGTCTAAGTGTGAGTCACTCCCACACTCAGCTGGCAGCTGTTCCCTCTGCTTGGTCCACTTTTGTCCCTCATCAACTCAAACAGAATGACTTGTCAGATGTCTCAGTGGTAGACACCGTTGGTCTTTGCACAGAGTCCCCACTACTCAAGAGGCAGGAGGATCACTTGAGCCCAGGGGTTCATATTCAGCCTGGGCGATACAGTGAGGCCCTGACAGAAAGAAAAAGAAGGAAGCAGGGAGGGAGGGAAAAGGAACCTCTCCTTACTGTTTTTCCCATGCTTTAGGAGATTTTGATCCCAAATTGCATGTATTAAGCCATTATTAATTTATCCCACATTTTTTATTAATCAAAGACATTGATAGCTGCCCCTCTGAGCTTCTGATCTGTACATCCAACTGTGAGGGTACGTGGCTGACATGGCCCCAGCCGTAGGTGAAGGAACTCTGCAGCATGTGTGGTCTACCCAGTCTGCCGAGGGGCAGTGGAGATGTGAGTCCTGGAAGCTGCTGGCCTGCCCCAGGTGGATGCTGCTGCCCCAGATGCTCGTTGCCTGGGGACTGAGTTTCCATGCCAGGCTGCAGCATGAGGCCCACTGGGCTCACTGCAGATAGGTGTTGCATACCAGCCCCATGCAGAAAAGTGTGAGGTTCACGAAGTCCCGAAGCTGTCAACATGCGGCTCCCGCAGGCCCTGGCTGAAGACTGGCATGCCATCCCGCTGCTTGCTTGCCCCTGGTGCTGGCAAAGCATACCAGCTTATTCCCAGCCGGAGTGACAGCCTCTATCAGGTCCTAGATATCAGCACTCAAAGAGTATCAGCCAGGAGGGCACACTAGGCTGAATGGAGGACTATAAAGGCCAGCTTGGAAGGCAGGTGAGCCCACATCAGTGCCCCTGCCTGGACATGGGGAAACTGCCTCTGACCAAATGACCACCAGTGCACCTGGGAAGAGGAAGGGGATACAAGTGGGCCATGTGGGCTCTGTGGCCCTGCCTGCCACACACACACACACACACACACACACACACACACACACACACACACCCGTTGCTGCTCCTGGATGATGCTGCCAGACTGGCAGCTGCAACTGTTGAATTCTCCAATTTTCAATGGAGAATAATTCTCAAAGATGTCCCATCCTGTGAAAATGAAAACAAGCACTTACTACAAGTCTGCTGGGTGCCAGTTTTTAAAATTACATTGTTTGAGGCTGGATTTGCTCCAAAGGTGGCTTGGAGCAAGGATCTGGTTACAGGAAATGTCTGTGGGAGATGATCAGGGAAGCAAGTAGGATTTGGGGAGAAAGGACAGTGAAGGGGTGAGGCTGGCAGGTCACCCCTGGCAGCAGCTTACTGCCAGAAGGCTGCAGCGTGCTGTAGGATGATCCTACAAGAGACAAGAAAGCTGTGCATTTATCTACCGCACACCTAGCTCCCTCTCTGACCAAGGATCTGAACTCCTGGCTCTCCTGTGCCCCCTCAGTGGGCTCACTGGCAGCCAAAGCAGCCTCGGGCAGAGACAGAGCGATCCCTCCGTGCACATAGAAATGTCTTGCTGGGCCCCCAAGGTGGGCAGAGTGATAGAGGCAGCATGCAAGAGCCCACTACTCCATCACACTTTATGTTCAGGCACTTTATTGGAAAAGAGATGCTCAAGAGAGAAAATAGCTGGTGGAGAAAGCGGTGTTCTTGGATGAGGGTAGGGCAGGATCCTGTGTCCCTGTAGTGACCACTGAGCGAGCGAGCGAGCGAGTGGGTGGGTGTGGGCCTGGGGACTGTGGGCCAATTAACACTGCTCTGTCAGGCCGGGATGGTAGTTCCTGTCCTCTTGGGCTGCTCTGAGGGGCACAGGAGATTGTGTAAGGTAAGTGTTCGGCTCAATGCCTCACCCAAGGGAAACCTCAGCCTCTCCTCTACACCTTTCAGGGGAGGGGGTCATTACCAAGAAGCAAGACATCAGCCCCACTCAGTGATCGCCTGGATCTCCAAATGATGGATCTTTTCCTCCAGGGAATCCCTGCTGGCTCTGCTCACTAGCACCAAAGCCTGGCCCCATTTAACCCAAGGGAACAGAATAGGGAGAGAAGCACCTCCCACGTTACCCAGTGAAGAAGGTGCTCTCCCTGCCTTGCTCTCTGTCTGGCCCTCTCATCTAGCTGCCTACCTCACAGTGCGTACTGCACACTGCCCTTCCACCCCTCACACTTTGCCATCCATGCCCTCCTCCATTCTGGGTGCCTCCTGAGGCCCAGGCATCCAGAGCGGTTTCTCAGCAGTATTTGATGCTGTTGATGCCCTCCTTTCTGAGCCTGTTTCAATGGAGAATAACTCCTGCCTCCCTGACTATTCTGCCAACTAAATAGATTGTTCATTTAGGAGCCGGCAAACATTTCTGAACCCATTCTCAGCTGGTCTGGCGGTGTTCCAGTCTCATGGGGCTGCAGAAGTTCCTGCAGCAGGTATGCAAGGCCCAGCTCTCTGCCTGACATCTAGCGGACACTCAGTGAGTGCAGGTTTGTCTTTTCTTTTTGTCCTCAGGCCCGTATCCATAGCCAGACAGCAGGCAGACAGAGGGGTTTGGCCTGCTCTTTGCAGTCTCCACTGCCTTGGCTGCTTGTCTACAAGGCGCCCTGGCCACTCACCTTGCGCTCCTGGGTGAGCCTTCACGCAACCAGGAGACCCGGGAAGCTGGCTTGAAGCTTCTGCACCCACACCTCTTTTAGCTCAGCCAGGCCCCTTCTCAATAGAAGACCTGAGAGGGGGTGCTGCTTCCTTGGCTGGCATGGATGGCAGCCTGTGGGAGACCTAGGGCCCAGGTGGAGACAGGAGGGACCCTGGGTACTCTGTGAAGCAGCCCCTGCAGTCTGGGCCTCGGCTACCTCCTGCTCAGGCATCTGTAGGCACCACCATGCATCTGCACTCAGTCAGAGCCACTCCACAGAGGCAGAATTGGGAGATTCAGAGAGAGGAGAGGTCACATCCTGGCCCTGGAGGGTGCTATGAGGGACCAGCATGACAGGGCCACCTTGCGCTATCCAGGGATGCCACCCCAGCCTACCTGAAGCCTCCTTCCTTCACTTGCATTCAGCTTTCTGGTTTTCTCTTGGGCCATTCACCTATTCCTCTCCTTCTCCCCTTCCCCTCCTCTGTTATCTAAGGACCCCACACTACTCCCACTGTGTGGCCCTGTGGCTTCCTTGCAGGCTCCTGCAGAAGTTGGTGGCATAACATTCCTCTCACTACAGGCCAAGCCAGGCCCTGTGGATTGCACCCCAGTGCACACATATTGAGGTGGGGCTACTCCCTGCTGCCCCTTCCTCCTGGCCTCTGCCACAGGGCCCATATTGGTGGGAGATTACCCCATGTCCCCAGGGCCATTGTCGGGGAAATGCCATGGCTCCTGAGACCCAGCCAGGAGTCCCCAGGGTGGACTGGCCTCTCTGCTCCACCTTCTGCCATGCCTCTGTCAACCTGATCCTGAGTGGAATAGAGGGGCTGTCACACAGGCACATCCCTGTGCCCAGCAACCAGTCACAGATGCAGTATGAAGAGAAAACTGGCTTAGGGAGGAGCCCTGGCTATAGACATCGCCCCCAGAGACCCACGCAGAGGTGGGCAGAGACTGTGAGCTCTGTCCTCCCAGTGAGGGTGCAAGCACTGAGGAGCACACCCAGAGCCACACCCCAGCAGGAGCTGTGTGCCCACAGAAATACATGTCTGCACAGGGACAGTCACCTGATGCTTGGGTGCTCACACACCTGACGCTCAGCTGTGACTGGTGCTAGGAGCTGCGTGTGCTCTCGGGGGAGTCACTCCAACATCAGTGTCTATCCTGAGAGGGAAATAGACACATCAACAGCTGGAGCCACGCAGGCCTAGATGTGCACCCAAGACCCAGAGACACTGCGCACAGGGAAGCAGGCAGTGCTGGGGTAGCAGCACAGGACACAGCCACGCCCACAATAGCATCACACATAGAGACCAGGGACTTGTGCCTGATGTAGAGATGTTGAGGCAGCTGCAGGACACAGGTACACCCAGGACGGCACCGAATCAGGGGCACATGGCATCATTCCCATCCCTTGGGTTACCTTACTCCGTAAGTCTGAGAGCTGGTTCTCGGGGCTCAGCCCGCACATTGGCACACCACCAGGCACCCGGCACCCGGCACTCAAGGCTGACTGTCCTGTGGGTGGGCTGGGCACACCCTGATAACCCTGGCTGGTGGCATCTTTGCTCCTTCTCTCCCATCTCCCCTGTTGACCAGGGAAGCCATGCCAGAGTGCTGATGGGAGCCAGGCAGCAGAAGGCCCCACCCAGCAGTGGCTTCAAGGAGAGATGAGTTAAAATGAAACTTGCACGTGGTCTGTGTGGCTTTTGGAGTTCACAAGAATAAAACATAGGAAAAGGGGAAAACGTGCTTCCGAGCTTGCTATGAGGCTTCCGGGCTACAACCTGCCCGTCCTCTCAGTACCCGCTGGGCGGATGCCGTTCCCCATGTTTTATAGAGGAAGAGAATTGAGTCCAAAGAGGCAACATGACTGACCCAAAACCCACAGAACTAGTGACTCCAAGAGTTGTGATTTGACTACTGCATAAGACTGTGCTGCCTCTCTACTGCGCAGGGCATCCTAACCCCAAGATAATGGCATTCAGAGGTGGGTCTGTGGGGAAGCGATTAGTCCTGTGGGATTAGTGCTCTTATAAAAGAGACTCCATAGAGACCCTCACCCTTCCCACTGTGTGAGATCCAGCCAGGGGACGGCCCCTCCCTAGACACCCAAGCAGCCAGCTCTTTGTCTTAGACTTCTGGCCTCGTGACTCTGAGAAATAAATGTCTGTGGTTGCGAGGCAGCGAGGCCATACAGCGCTCTAGATGGCAGCCTCACAGACTGACAGCAGAGGTGAAAACAGGAAACCAGATAAACATGTGTCCCACTGGCATGGAGCTTGGTGTCTCTGAGTAGCCTCCTCTGTGCCTGGGGCCCATCACTGTGGGGAAAGGCGCTGTGCACCCTGAACCCTTCCATTCATCCATGGCTGCTGAGTGCTTAGGCTACGCGGGCTTAGGCAGTGGGCAATGGGATTGCAAATGTGCTCCAGGTTAAGCCCTGTGCAGAGCACTTAAAGACCAGTGACAGGGCATTGTCAGAAAGACCAGCCAGCCAGGGAGAAGTGATCCTGCAGATTAGAGTGGGGTCAGGACAGTACTCTCTCTGAGATGACAAGAATTGGTTTTGTTTTGTTTTTGCAGTGCTGAGGATTGAACACAGGGAGCACTGAGCTACGTTCTCAACCTTCTTCTTCTTTTAGTTTGAGACTGTCTTGGTTACTTTTTTCTCATTGTTGCAACAAAAATACCTGACACCCAAAATGAAGGAAGGAAAGGTTTATTTAGCCCACACTTTGTGGAGGTTTCAGTCCATACTTAGCTGGCTCCAAGGCAGAGTGCTGCATGGCAGAGGGCAGCAGTTCATGGCAGGACAAAATGGCAAAGAGCAAAGGGAGGGGCAGCAGCTGCCTCTCTAGGGAGCCTCTTCCCCCTTCCATTGTAATGCAAATTACCTGCCCCAGGACAGGTGCAGCATCCATACCCACAATAATCAATCACAAACTCCAGAAGCTGCCGGATGACTGCATGAGGCCTTGAGGGGATAACTAGATGCAAACTGTAACTGAGAAGGTCCTGCTAAGTTACCCAGGCTGCCCTTGAACTTGTGATCTTTCTGCTTCAGAATCTAGAGCAGCTGGGATTATAGGCAGGTGCCACCATCCCTGCCACAAGTGTTTTAACCATGAATACAGCCCATCAAGGAATGATGGGGCAGAAAGAGGGGCTACCCAGGCTGGGGGAACAGCCTGCACAGAAAAGTGAAGAAAGATCAGGTGGCTGGGACATGGGGCTCAAAATAAGAAAGTCTGATGACCCGGGAAGGTGTCTTGAGGAGACATGAATGCTGAGCAAAGGACTTTGGATTTTTATCCCAAGAAGAAGAGAAACAGGGCCCAATTAGCATTCTAGAAAGATTGGAGTGGAGGGTGCTTTAGGAGTGGGTGGAGAGAGGAGCACAGCCAGCAAGGAGGCAGCTGGAGCAGCGTAGGAGAGATGGCGAGTTTGGTTCAGCAGTCAATTGGGGGAAGGTGGGGCCGCACTCCAGTGTGGCCCATAGGTAGGAGGTGGAAGGAAAGGAAGTTGAAGCCAACTCCCATATTCCCAGCTCACTGCGGAATATATGTGTCACAACTGGAAATAGGAAATACCAGAGGACGAGCAAGTTAGGGGTTGACGGGCAGCGAGGTTCACTGGGGAACTGCTGATCTGGCGCAGACTGAGGGCCACTATAGCAGATCCCAGGCCTGGAAAGAAAGGTGTGATTGGAAAGCCCACAAAGTTCCAGGAAGAGACGCAGTTGTTCCAGGAGTGGGACTTGGGGATATCAATTCCAAGGAGTAGTTACAAAATGCACAAAACGATGACAGTCTTTTGGTATGGTCGCTCAGAAGATCCCCTGTCATGGTCCTGTCCTTGCCCATGGGCAATGGAGCCAGGCACAGGCAGAGGTCACCAAGTGCAGCTGAGAGTTGGTAGCTAAACTCTATGCTTCTTGTTCTCGTCAGGTGGGACAGTGGGGGACATAACCTCCTGGAAGCGCCTGCAGAACCTGCCCTTGAACAACTGCTTCTTCCCATCCACTCCTCAGATCGCCTCTCCAGCAGACCAAAGGTCACAGCAGCCTCATGCAGTAGAGCCCACCCAAGGACCATGGCTCCAGCCCTCTGGCGCCAGCCTGCTTGCTGTCAAGGCAAGAGCACCGTGGACTGAGATCTTCAGCATTCACCGAGCTACAGCAGGAGCTGGCTTGGCTCTATCTCCCTCTGTTTCACACAGTAGGACTTTAATAAAAAGCTGCCCCAGTTCAGCCTGTCTAGAGCAGCTGAACCTCTCCTTCCTGCTAACCAACCCGCAGATAAGCAAACCCCTTAGGCCTGAGCATTTCATTCCCAGTGCTTTGGCTGGACTCCTGCCAGGTGGCCTCCTCTGCTGGCAGCCACAGCTCCCCTGGGATGTCCTAACTAGCGGGTGGGGCGGAGAGGCCTGGTCTGTCAAGTGGACATCCTGCTTTCTCTAGGGTAGAGAGGAAGCACACCTTTGCTATGCCCTGAGCCGCACTGGCTAAGAAGACCCGCCCATTACAAAAAATAAAATAAGAAGAGCCGCCCACGATCTCGCTACATCCACACTGCAGACTGTGCTGGCCACTACCACTCCTGCTCCCTACTCAGGGCACTGGGCTCAGAGCCTGTGCGCATTCTCAGGACCCCATGTATGCATTTTCTCCAGTGCCCCCACCCCTGGCACAGGCACTGCATGGAGACTGAGTTTAAAGATGCATTTTGGGGGCTGGCCATGGTGCTGTGTAACCTTGGCACTCTAGAAGACTGAAGCAAGAGCTTCCAACTTAGGGTCCAGCCCAGGCAACTTAGTGTCTCAAAATAAAAAATAAAAGGGACTGGGGATGCAGCTCAGTGCAAAGGCTCTGGGTTCAATCCCCAGTACTGCTAAAAAAAAAAAAAAAAAAAAGGCCAACCAAATAACTCAGCAGATTAAAGCACCTGCAAGCAGGTGCAAAGGCCAGGGGTTGGATCCCCAGGGCCTGCCAGCCCAGCCCCTGGGGTGTGCTGAGATGGCAATTGAGACTGGGTGTGGTGGAACACGCCTGTAATCCCAGCACTTGGGAGGCTCTAAACAGGCGGACCACTACAAGTCTGATCTAGTAGTGAGACCCTGAACACCGTGTAGACCTTCCCTAGAATGAAAAATTTAAAAAAATGAACAGTGTGTTGGGCTGGATAGAGCCAAGAAAACATACCAGAGGAAGACAAAGGTCGCATTTCCTGTGAGCCTGGGCCCCGCAGGGCTGCAGTCCAGCTCCCCACTCCCAGCAGGGGGACAGCACACAGTGGCACCCAAGCAAGGAAGTGGAGCCAGAGGAGCATTCAGAGTTTGTGGCCTCAAGCCGTTATTGCACTGAGAGGTGCGCGGTGCAGTTCGAGTTTCCAGTTCGGTTGTTCATGAGAACTTTTCCTCCTCTGCTGTCACAACAACCTTCTCTCTCCCTCTGTGTGAATGCACACGTCTGGAAACAGCTTGTCCTGGATGGGCATGAATTGGTGGCTCCTGCTCCTCCCTCCAGGGTGAAGAGCGGGAAAGCCAGGAGCAAGTGCTTGCTGTGTGCTTCAGCATGAGCTACCTGCTCCCTCTCCCAGGGCCCTGCAGCAGGGCTGGAGGGATCCCCTGGGTGGAGGAGGAGCGGGACCCACAAGAGCTGTGCGACTTGTCCAAGGTCACCTGTCTTGTGAGAGGCTGGCCTGGGGTGCATCTGCCCTAACACTTAGGCCCTTTCTCGTGCCACTCAGTTTCCTTCCAGGCCCAGGCTGCGTCCATTCCACACACAGCGTGTCCAGTGCAGATCTCAGAGCGTGTCAACCTGGTGACACCAGAGCCGGCACCTTGGTGCAGAGCGGAGGAAGCACCTGGGGATCAACTTACTAATTCGAGGCTGATGAATTATTCACAGCACCATTAGCTTGGAGGCCCTCACGCTCCACCTCTCTTCCCCTGCTCAGACCCTCAGGTCCTGGCCCTCTCAGCTCTGCAACTCCTGGGGGACCCTTGGTGAGGAGATGCTGGCAGAGCTGGGGTCCCGTCTGCTGCTGGCAGTGGCCCTGCTGGGAGCAGGCCCTGCTGCCCAGGCCATGAAAGGTAGGTGCTCCTGGGGACCCCCAAAGGGCCCCAAGGGGGCCAGGCAGAGCCAGTCCTCCAGGGATGGCTGGGGAAGAACCCAGAAAGGGGAGGCTGGTGGATGAGTGGCTGGGTGGGGTGACTACGTCCGAGATGTGGACGGAGCTTGCTGAGCGCCCGCTGTTTGCTTCACACGCATCACTCAGTCTTCTCAGGGACGTCGAGGTGCGCATTCACCCCACCCTGTGTGCAGTCGGAGGAGCTGAGGGCCAGAGAGCTTAAGCAATGTGTCCAAGGCCACACAGTTACCCAGCGTGGTAAGAGTGGCCCAGAGAACTGTGAGAGGGTCACTGCAGGAGCCACTTCATCCTCCAAGAGCCTGCTGTGCTTCCTGGGCCGGCCAGTATGCCAGCTTCCCTTACCATGGCACTCAGTGCTCCTGGGCCCTGCCTTCCAGGCTATGTACATGACTCAGCCTCCATGCCCTGTTCCCCTTGGGCATCATAAGCTCTGGCAGGGGACTCACAACTCTTTCTGAGGATGCTTTGCCCTTGGGGACCTTAAGCCGTGCTGCTCCCCTGCCTGGAAAGGATTCCTCATTCCCATAGTTCCTAACCTGAGAACTTCTGGGTCATTCATCAAACTTAGATCAAATGTCACCTCCTCCAGGAAGCCTTCCACACTCAGCCTTCCTCGCTCAGCCCCAGAAGGCCCTGTCCCAGAAGGCTCTGTGCTGTGAGACCCTTTGTGACTCTGGAGTGATAGTAACTCGCTTTATGCAGGCGTGGGCAGGCCCCTGGCACTCAACAAACATTTCTGTAAGCTTGGAGGAGCCCAGAGAAGAAATGTACCTCAGCAGGCACCCATGGCTGGCCGAGACGGGATGGGCACCCACGTATCTCAGCCATACCTGGTGGCAGGAGGAGCAAGCTATTTCCAGCCACCAGAGCTTCAGTGCCGCAGAGTGGCCCTGGCATCACCATGCCTGGCTAAGCCCTGCTGGACAAGGTCTCCTCTCACACAGTGGCCTGGGCCACTGTCATGGCTTCTTCTGGAGAAGACAAGGACAGGCACCGTGTCCCTGCACCTGCCTGCCTTCGTGGCGTTGGCCCCGGCAGCACCCTTGTCACGGGTGCAGGGCAGAGACATGTGGAGCCTGCCATATCCTGCCATTCCCGCCCCCATTTTCCCCAATGAACAACCTCCTCATCCTTACTGCTCAGCCTGGGATGTCCCCTCCTCTGAATCTCACCCTTTCCTAATGCTGTCCCCACCAAGGTTGCTGTCCTCCCTCTGGATGCCTGAGCCCCGGACAAAGCACAACCACACGGTGTGGCTTTGTCTTGTTTGCCCCCCTGCAAGCTGCCTGTGACAGGACTGTCCTGAGACAGCCCCAACCTGGCACAGCACACATATGCCCATGTGTCTCTAGTAGTAGGCACAGGGTCTCTCTGTCTCCAAGTGCGTTCTTTAGGGGGCCTCCGGTTGCAAGTGACACAAGCCCAACGTGAATGAGTTATGTGGAAAGAAGGCTGGTTGACTCCTTGGCTCTGGAGCCTGGAGGTGGGGCTAGGGCAAAACTCGTGGCCCAGGGCCAGGTCTACTCTTCTGGGGCTCTTGCCATTTGCCAACCTTGCAGATGCCCTGCCCTGGCCCCAGGCTCCTGCTCCGGGTGAGGGAGAGGGAAGGGAAGGACTCCAGCGCCCTCCTGACATTCTGAGCAGGGCTGGGCTTGTGTGGGGCAGTCATTGTGGTGGCGTTGGGGAGGGGGGCAGGATTGCCCAGCTGCCCCCCTGGGCAGGAAGAGAGGGACCCCACAGAACAAGGGACAGACAGAGCCAGGTCTAAGAGAAGCTGCTGAGGTTGTCCTAGGTGCAGCAGAGGAGGGTGTGGTGACCAGCCAGATAAATAAATAAACAGAGTGTTCTAGGGTGATGAATAATGGAGAAAAATAGCAAGAGGAGGAGGAGAGAGTGTGGGGAGAGGGTTGCACTGTGAATGGGCGGTGAGGGGAAGGCAGTGCTGGCTACTTCTTAAATTTTTAATCCTGAGAAATTTCAAACATGTACACAGTAGAAGAAGATGTACACTAAAGCCCTTCGTCTCCATCAGCCCAGCCCGACGCTGACCTTGCGCCTGGCTGTATTCTTCTGCCCCACCCCGCTTCCATTTCTGGGGTGTGGAGGTGCATTTAAAGCTGATCTCAGATACCATGTTATTTCATCCATAAATACTTCAAGACATATCTGTAACTTGGAAAGGCTTAAAACTATACAATCCCAATACCACTATAATAGTATAGTAATTCATTACTTCCACCTAATACTCAGTTTGTGTTATTTTCTATTATTGGTATTAGTAGTAGTACCAGAAATTGAACTCAAGGCATTGTGCTTGCAAGGCAGGTACTGTGCCACTGAGTTACATCCCCAGCCCCTATTCCCTAAGTATTGTCCAAAGAAATCTTTTTACAGGGGATTTGCTCACCTCAGAATCCTTAGGGCCGGTGAGATAGTTTAGCAGACTAAGCACCTGCTTTGGCAAGCTCAGGGATCAGGGCAGAGACCAGGGTTTGATCCCTGGTCCAGCATGCTGTGCCGGCCCTGCCCCTGGGGCAGGCTGAGCCCGTAGTGCGATGGAGTCCGGGCATGGTGGCACACACCTGTAACCCCAGCGCTGGGGAGGCTGAAAGCAGGAGGATCACTATGAGTCCAAGCTGTATAGTGAGACCCTGTACCAAATACATAAAATGAAAAAAAAAGGAAAGAAAGCAAAAGGAGTCCACACATTGTGTTGGCTGATATTTGTTTCTTTTGTTGTAACAATTATGCCTCCCCATTCATATAATTTTTTTGAAGTACTGAATTATTTGTTATGGAATTTCTAACATTCTGTATTTGGTTAAATATGTCCTCATGTTGTAATTAAAAATGTTCCTCTTTCTCAGGGACAACCCACTCGGGCCCCCCCCTTCTGTCCCTATCTTGGACAGGAGCTTTCTTTCCCTCAATAAATATATTCTGTTCATTAAAAAAAATGTTCCTCTAGGCTAGGTGTTCCTTTAGTTCCAGTTACTCAGGAGGCTGAGGCAGGAGGGAGCCCAGGAGCTCCAATCCAACCTGGACAATTTAGTGAGATTTTTAGTGAAAAACCTCCACCCCCACTCCCTCTACACCACCACCTGCTCAAGGGCCAGGGATATGGCTGAGTGTAGAATGTTTGCCTGCCATATGTCAGGTCCTGGGGTTGATTCCTAGCACAAAAACCAAACGAGCAGGCAAACAAACTCCTAGTCTCTATTTCACTCTAACTTCTGCATAGATCAAGAGATTCATCAGATTCAGGTTCTTTCAATTTTGTTCAAGAAAACTTTATACTTGGGTTTTGTGTGTGTGTGTGTGTGTGTGTGTGTGTGTGTATGTGTTACATATTGTGCAGCAGTCCACTGTGACGATAGGGCTTCTCAGTGGTGAGCTCACAATTTGGAAGCTATTAGTCCAATCCATCCATTCTAAAGTTCTCTACTAAGTTAATGTTTGACTTTTTCTTTTTGGGCAGAACCAGGGATTGAACTCAGGCCCTTGCACTTGCCAGGCAAGTGCTTATTCTACTGAGCCATCTCCCCAGCCCTTGTTTGACTTTTTCTTTCCATCCTGGTGACTGAACTCAGAGCTCTGCACAAAGCTACATTTCCAGCCCTTTCGGTTTTGAAGTAGAGTCTCAGTCATGAATGCTGGACTCAATCTTTCAATCTTCTCGCCTCAGCATTCCAATGATCTTGTTCTCTCTCTCTCTCTCTCTCTCTCTCTCTCTCTCTCTCTCTCTCTCTCTCTGTCATTGGAAATCTAACTTATCTAATTTGGTGCTGTGTAAGCTCTTTATCAACTGAGCTACATTCTAGGCCCTAGTAGTTTTTAAGTATACAAGTTTTCAGCTTGGCATGCTGGTGTATACCTGGAGTTCCAAGTATCTGGCAGGCTGAGGCAGGAGGATCACTGAAGCTCACAAGTTTGGGTCAAGCCTGGACAACATAGTGAGACCCATTTCAACACACACACACACACACACACACACACACACACACACACACAAATTGTAATACATTTAGCCAAGTTGAAAGAACTTTGTAGAGAATTCTTTTGTATTCCACTACCTAGGTTTCACAGTGATTAGAATAGACACTAAAAGGCTAGGGAGACAGCTCAGCAGTCTAAGCACCTGCCTGACAAGCACAAGGACTTGCGTTCAATCCCCAGTACCGCATGCCATGTTGGCCCATGCTGGGGAGGCTGAGACAGGAGGATCACTATGAGTCTGAACTGTGTATAAGATCCTGTATCAAATAAATATATTTTAAAAAAATAAAATAAAATTTAGAACAGACACTAAAGACGTGATCTATATCCAGTATTTCATTATGGTTTGCAAAATTATAATTTTTCAGTGCTGCAGTTATTTCTGCAGTCTTCTATAAATAATAAGTTTTTTTTTCTCACCAGCAATTTGGTATTGAAAAATCCAATCCATACTGGAATGCAAGATAGATGCTTGATTTCTTTCCCTTTCTAGTTATCAATTTTCATAAAAATGAATTAGTGCCCCAGCAATCACTAAAAAAAAGCCTTTTTAATTTCTCCTGAGTTACATTACAAATTCATGAGCTTTTATATATTTGATGTGTTTCAGCTCCCTGCAATCATTATTGCTCTGTGACACGTGGGTTGTACCTTCCTCAGTCCTCAGGCTGGTCCCTGTGTCCTCTGATGTGCTCCCAGCAGCCTGTGACAGCCTCTTTGCCGTCCAGCATGATGACTTTCCAAGCGTGCTGCGAGTGTTCCCCAGGGCCAGCCATTTCCCTAAGGAGTCCTGCCCTACTTGGGCAGAATAATCCTAATCTGAGGCTCAGGGCTACCCAATGGTACTGAACCATCATTGCTTCTTGGTTTGTTTAGTAAACAGAGAAAGGAAATACATTATATTAAGGATCATACAAGAAATTTTTTGTTTGTTTGTTTTATTTTGTTTCAGTGCTGAGGATTGAATCCAAGGCCTCTACACTGAGGTTTTTTTGTTTTGTTTTACATCGCACTGTGTAGTTCAGGCTGGCCTTGAACTCACTTCGGAGCCTAGGTTTACTCAAACTCTCAGCATTCCTCCTATCTCAGCCCCCTGAGTGCTGAGACTATGAATGAGCATCCCCACACCTGGCTGAGCTGCGTTATTTTGAGATAAGTTCTCGCTAAATCATTGACTGCCCAGTGATTTTGTTTGTTTATTTGGTATAGGGTCTCACTACACAGCATGGACTTGTAGTGATCCTCCTGTCACAGCCTCCTCAGCGCTGGGATCACAGGCGTGTGCCACCACACCTGGTTTTGGTGGCCGCACAGTTTGCTGTACCAAGGATCAAACACAGGTCTTTGTGCTTGCCAGGCAGGCACTTAGACTGCTAAGCTATCTCCCAAGACTGCTTAAGTTCTTTTTGTGGCTGGCTTTTTCCTTAGGATTATACAGTACTGGGAATATACAGCCAAAATACAGTTGCCCCAAATCACTTGAAACCATTTTGCCCTGTGACCATCTCCAAGTTGATACATAGTAATATTTATTTGCTTTATATTGGATACTTAAGGTTACATTAACCTTTTTATCTTTTAACATTGCATCAATTATTTTCTGATTTTTTTTTAATTTTATTTATTTAATTAATTTATTTATTTTGTGTGTGTGTATGTGTGGCCAGCTCAGCCCACCAGGGGGCGGGGCTGGCTGGCATGTGGTGCTGGGGGATTGAACTGCGGTCC